AATGTTTAGAAATTTATTTTTCTGTTAAAAAATCTTGAAGAAATGTGTATTGTAATTGGTTTGCAAACATACAAAATGTATGAACAATTTAAAGTATTCTTTAACTTAATTACCGTAGACTTGGTACCTTTTCATATTGAAACTACGTAGAAGTAAAACTCTACTTTTAGTAAATAATCTTGAAAAATATTTATTGTAAAAGGTTTTCATTTCATTATTAACATACTAATATAAGAAAAAATTCAAAAAACACTAACTTCATTAATATGTGATAATTATACTATTTAAAAGTATTTCATACTTTTAAAATGTTTTTTCTCGATAATTTCATTTCTAAAGCACTTCCATTTAAAATTCAGAATTGCTGATAATCCTATCAAGCTGATTTTTGTTTTATATTCCTAACTGCAGCTGTGTCAATAACTCTATTTCATAGACTTGGTACCTTATCTCATCTTGCGTCTCATATGATGCTCTCCATCTCCTTCTAGTAATTTGTATTTTTATCATATACAACCAATTTCAAGTATAGTGTTTATGTGCAGCGATAATACAAAAATAATTGATAGTTAATAACAATATTTAATAAAAAAGTAAGATAAATAGATAACAGCGATAATTAATAAAAAAAATATTGTGATAGTAGACATGCGGACAGTGAAATTCAAGTTTAATTCAATATACCCAGGAATCCAAAGACCTGTAATGTTATAAGATATTGCTCTAACACAAATCAATAACCATCACCTATGGTTCTGTGAAGTTCTTTAGGACACAAAAGTAGATAAATATTTCTTCTAAATATATTTCTGGTTATACAAACATTAAATTTTTCAGAAATAGAACTTCTCATAATAACAATTGCATATTTTCCAGTCTTATTATTAGTAACTTCCATATTCACTTTATCTAATGTAATTTCTTGATCATCACTAGTTATTTTTTCTTGTTCATCACTAGTTATTTTTTTCTTATTCATCACTAGTTACTTAATAAAAATATATTTACACTATATATATTATTGAAAGCAAACATTAAGAAAAAAATTTACTTTCCTGCTAGTTATATGCAATTTTTTTTGTGCAGGAATTTATTTCCAGCGGCTAGAGAACGCTTGTCTAACGTCTTAAGAACAACATACGGACATGTGACGTCTATAAGGCATTGTATGTCTATAAGGCGTTGTAAACGTCTAAAGCAAAATGATTTATTGATAATTCAAAGTCAAAACTCTCAGCAAGCTCACATTCGATTAAAATCAAAGTCAATCAAAAAAGACATTGTTTTTTCATTGTTGATCACAGATAATTTTTAATAATCTTTAGTCTACTGAAAGGAAGAGTCAAGTAGATAATGTACAGTATAGTAAGGAAAACATGATAACATCTATTTCTCTCTTAAGAATAGATGTGCGTTTTTCATTTGTAGTTAACCCTATATATATATTTTGCTATATATATTCTTTCTCATGAAACTCAAATCTATTCTTGGTTCTGCCATGCTTCACTTAGCACAGTTTTGATTATAAACTAAAATGAAAATTTCATGTTTTCAAGCCAAATTTATATGAAACATTTAATTTCTTAGTTGACTACTAATACCTACCTAATTACAAATAAATTTATATGAAGATACGTAGCTTCTAAATACCTACCTAATTTGTTAATAAATTTATATGAACATAAATTACCTTATGACTAAATACCTAACTACTGATAAATTTATATGAAGATACCTAATTTCTAAATATCTACCTAATTACTAATAATTTAAATGAAGATGAAACATCTAATGTCCTAGTTAACGATCATTTATTTAATGCATTAAAAATTAATTATATTAGATTTTCGGTTTAATAAGACATTTTTGTTATTTTTGAACTTAATAAGCCATTTTTTAATAAAACATTTTTAAACTTGAGTCTTTTATTAAGGTAGCAGATCCCCTTAAAATAAAGTTGCTTAAACTATTGTTATTAAATACTAATTGCAATTAGGTTTTATTTGATATCAATTAAACTTTTTTTTTTAATTAAAAATTTTGAAAAAAAAAAGTAATTAAGGACTAATTAGACAATTAAGCAGCCATTTTAAAAAATTTTCAAACGTGATTATACAAGTTTTACAAATGCTGTGGACTTCAAATTTTCAGGATATGTTAGTAGTACTATTAACTAGGGTTTCTACCACTTTTGTGTAAAAATGATAAATTCTTTAAAAGATAATCAATTTTTTCAAAAATTATTAAAATGAAGTACACAAAAAAAAAAAAAAATTTTACTTTAAATGAAAATTGAACTTTCATTGAGGTACAAACCCTAGACAACATAACAAGGAACATTTGCTGAAAATTTCAAATCAAAATCTATAGTAGAAGTTGAGAAAACGCGTTTTATGTGTCGAAAAGTTCTAAAAAAATAAAACACAAGAAAAATGCTCCTAAAGATTTTGTAATTAAAAAATAATAAATTTTTTATCATTCTAAAAACCACCAGCAGAATATGATGCTCTTTCTTCATTTTCTTTATCTATGAATCCTTTTTTCATAGCTCTTAGTAGCTTTCTTTTGCTAATACCTGCTGTTGAAGTCTTTTTTATCATATAACCTATTCGAGTCTTGTTTTTTTAAATGGTCCCTATGTCCATAAATCGACCGGTCTTTATCTGTAGTTTTTGAAAAACTTCATATATCCCACTAGCTCCATCATTAAACTCTAAAACAGCAGATGCTACAGCTATTTCAAGAATATTTCGACTTACATAAACATCTTTAGGACATTTTTTTAAAATGAAATTGTTAATTGCTTCATTATTATTTTGTGTCTGTCCATGCAAACATTTAGATAATAATTCATCTCTACTCAAGTCTTGAAAGATAGGTTTTAAAATTTCATTTATTGCTAATGGAATATTTAATTTAGCTTTGTAAGTTGATTTACCTGTTAGTTTATTTGACTGCCACATGCACCAGCTATTTACATTTCGAGGACAAAATTTATGTCATCCAGTTTCACCAAGAATATCTGAGTTATGGAAAAGTGTTGCCCAAAAACCCTTTTTCATTCCATAAATGCTGTTAAGAATTTGCCTTAAGGCAGTACCATAATAATTCTGCAAAGTATTTATAGCTTTATCACATTTTTGATTATTTGTTGATATCAAAGTAACAACACCATTTATGGATGTGTGACCTCTTTTTTGCCATGTTTCATCAACAGAAACATGGCAATCAAAAATACTTGTATTATCACTGATGACATCTATCAAAACAATATCATGTGTCTCTTTTTCAGCATTTGACATAGAAGTATTAGCTGCTTCGACATAAGCACTGTGAAGTAATTTTGTTATTTTACCATAGTTTTTTTTTGTCATCGGTCTTGGCATATTCATGCAACGATTAAATGATACTATCCATTTTCTCTAAAAGCAACAACAACTTGTGTATTAACTTCTTTTAATTATTCTTTTAATTTTAAGTTCTTTAAAATTCATCTTTTAATTATTGCTGAAGTTTTAAATGTGTCTATAATTTTATCACAGCTTTCACAAAAAATTTCAAGTTGTAAACAAAATCCCATTTTTTCATAATGTTATCATGCAAAGTAATTTTATTTCCACATTCAGGACAAAAAATATACTTACTAAATATTCTTTTTAATATAGAAAGGTTCATAATAAAGTTATAATTGTTCTTGTAATCTTCATTGTTACACTCAAAATTTTGAGTTGTTTTCGTTTTCGAAAATAACTTTTTTGCACTTGAACAACTTGCAATTGGCGATGAAGGTAAACTATTTTTTTGTTTATCATTGCATGTGTACTGATTTTCTTTAAACTTGTATTTACGTTTTCTAATTGTACTGCGAGTCATTTTTTTGTTTAAAAGTTGCAAACAAATTTGAAGTAAAAGTGGCTTTTAGTAGAAGCTTTCAAATATAGTTTAAGCTGTGATTCTAATTTGTAATGTTCAAGCTGTGGAGTTTATCCTAAAGTTGTTTTGAGCACTGGTACAAACATTAAGCAAACAAGATTCTTTTAAGACTGAAGTTTCCTCCAAAAAGCTGACTAGAAAGTTAAAAAACCAATAATCAAACCCGTTGCTATGGTGGTAACTAGGGAAGCCTGAAAAACTATGGTCAGCTAAAACATAAATATTTAAAAAACTAAATTGAATTATAAGAAACTGTTTTCATATTAATAATCTCCGTTAAATTTTGAATAAAAATCAAGTAAAAAAAAAATTTGAATTTTTTTTGATTTTTAAGGGGATCTGCTACCTTAAAGCAGCCAACTTTTTTTGCATTTGTTTAATGACATATTAAAGTTTGATTTAATTTTTTGCATTTGTTTAATGACATATTAAACTTTGATTTTGATTCTAGTTTTTTTTTTTTTTTTGCGGTTTCATCGAAATTGACTTTTAACGTTTTTGTAACTATATTTTTATTAAATGGCTGATTTTCAAAAATTTGAGAGTTATTAAAATTATTTTTAATTTTATTGAAAAGTAGATTTGATTAGCTTTTAAATAATATATGATGACCCACTCTTCATTTGATTATATCACCTTAGCAGAACAAAAAAAAACCACCTTTAATAAGGCAAGACCAATATTTTCATCTAAACATGTAACTTTGAATACTAATCTACCACCGCATTATAAACCTAACTAATACCGCAGTATAAAATCCAAGAATAATATCGGCTGAAGAATATAAAATTATATTTTAACAAAAAACTATATTTAGTATTTAAATAGCTTTAGATAATGTTATACATACACACGCACACACTTATATGTATATATATATAAATCCATTTGTGAACTCCCCTATAAACATATTTATATACATGCATATATATATATATATATATATATATATATATATATATATATATATATATATATATATATATATATATATATATATATATATATATATATATATATATATATATATATATATATAAAATTGAAAAATACGTATAAAAAGAATGTGCTGGACAATAATCCATTTATTATAAATTCAATATATAAAAACTAATTTCGTTGCATTTTGGGAGTACTAGGTTCGAATTCAAAGGGACTTGTATTAAGTTCCACGGAGTTTGCAAGAATACTTGGACTAAAAGGCGAAGATTGAGTAGCACTCTAAAGAAATCCATTAAAATTGTTTCTTATAATCAAAAAAACAACACCCTACTTTATTTAAGCATTATTTACACCATACTTAAGAATATACCTGATTGCCTTCAAAGTTAAAAGATTGATTGATATTACGATTTCTATTTGGCTCCTTTAAATCTTGATTTGTATCTTCACTTTTCTAAAAAATACTTGACTTGATATTTATGCTACATATAAATTAATTTGAATAAATATTATGAGTATACTAGGTTAGTTGAAAAGTTCGCGGACTTCAATTCGTTGATAGGGCTACAATTTCGATTGCATTTAAAGTCACATGCTTTTAATGAACGCATGTGCAAATTACAACTTGTTATGACTTGTCAGTGTGTTTTTATGACGCTTTGATGTTAGACGTGTCAACATAATTTAATTATGGAAAAAATTGAACATCGCGCGGTAATAAAATTTTTAGTGAAAAAGGGTTCAAAGGCAATGCAAATTTATAGCGAAATGGTGAATGTGTTAGGGGATGCTGCTCTATCTAAAAAAATGGTTTGTAAGAAAAATTAGATTTTTATTGGTCGCACAAACCTAGAAGATGATCCTCGTTCAAGACGTCCAAAAAGTGTGACTTCTGAAGAAATGATTGATACCATTCATGATATGGTTATGAATGACAGAACTTTAACCTTGAGTGAGATTTCTGAGACCATGAATATATCAACTGAGCAAATAGTTCATATTTTGAAGATGTGCTAGGCCTCAAAATACTTTGTGCACGATGGGTGCCGCATTTCTTAAATTGTGATCAAAAACGACTTCGAGTGAATCTTTCTAAGAAACATTTAATGCTTTTTTAATAAATAAAATTTGTCACTATGGATGAAACCTGGGTATATCACTATGACCCCAAGCTGCGACAGCAAATCTCAGAGTGGACTGAGTCTGGTTCTTCAGCCCCAAAACGACCAAAATAGTCCAAATCATCCAAAAAGGTTATGCCATGTGTTTTCTGGGATGCAAAGAGCATTTTGTTGATCAATTATCTTCAAACCGGTAAAACCATTGTAGGAGAGGTAAAAAGTAGGAGAGTATTCAAATCTGTTGGATAAGTTAAATACAAAAATTAAAGAAAAAAGACCTGGTTTGAAGAAGAAAAAAATCCTTTTCCATCAAGACAACGCGCCAGCACACAAATGTCTTCAAACAATGGCCAAATTGAAAGATTTACGGTATGAATTGATCAAACATCCGCCTTACTCTCTCGATCTAGCCCCTTCTGTCTTCCATCTACTATCAAATTTCAAAAAATTTCTCCGTGGAAAGCGTTTTTCCTCAAATGAAGAAGTTATAGCGACTGTGAACCAATATTTTAACGAGCTTCCAGAAAACCATTTTAGAGATGGTATAACTGAATTGGAAAATCGTTGGAGAAAATGTGTTGAAGTTAAGGGAGAATACGTTGAAGACTAAATGTATTTTTTAGTTTTGCCTTTTTTTTATCACCGCTCCGCGAACTTTTTAACTAACCTAGTATTGTAAATCAAAATATAAAATCATAAAAGATTAAAAAGGAAAAATAAAAAACTTAACAAACCTCTAGATTTGTAATATTATTCAATTCAACTTTATTTTCGAATAACCTATTTAAGAAATATCAAAATTGTGAAAATCCTAAACATGATTATTTTAAAATTAATTTTATACTATATATATATATATATATATATATATATATATATATATATATATATATATATATATATATATATATATATATATATATATATATATATATATTAAACTATACACTACCTTTTGTTTATTTTTTTCGGCAATTTCATCTTAGGTTGACCAGAGAAACTTTCATGAAGTTCTGCACGACGACTCTCCAAAACTAAAAGCTTTTCCTGTAAACATTGCAAACAAAAAGGTATAGACACAAATATAAAATATTATTGAAAAATATATAAACAAAAAAAGTAAAAAGATTACTTTAACTTGTTTTAATAGGTCTAATTCTTTAAGAACACCAATGACATCACCTAATCTTGCATCAGATAGTTGCTTTAATTCTTGTAGAATTTCAATTTTTCTTAAAAGATCATTTTTGTTCAGCTCAGCTGTCATTTTACATGAAATATCTGACCTTTTGTCGCTTGAACGTTTTATAATTCCTGGTAGAATATCACTTAACTGCTGATAAGCACTTTTCATTTCAGCAATATTTGATACTGTTTCTCTTTTTAATAGATTTAAATCACTTTTTATCTTAAAAGAACATTGTTTTAATTTTGAAAAGAAATCATATTTGTTTTGCACTAATTGTTCTTTGTAAAATTTTGTCCTCTCATGATCTTTAACTTCTTGCTCAAGCATTGCACGTAAGGTAACAAGCCTTAAGTTTAAATTGTTTTTTTCTTTCGTTATTTTATCAATTTCAGTTTTTAGCTCAACGCATATTTGATCAAAATGACTATTTGCATCGTTTTTTTCACGCTGTAATAACGTGATTTGATGTTGTAAATGTTCGTTATCTATGTTTGATGTGGAAGAATCTTGTTTGCGTAAAGCAGATAAAAGGAATTCTTTCTCGCGCATTAATGTTTCCAGTTCACGCCGAATTTCAAGATTATATTTTTCTTTCTTTAAAACCTCTCCCCGATAATTATTGTTATCGGTGACCAAATTATCCCACGCTTGCTGAATATCACGACGAATACGACTTTCTAGCTCAGCTTTTTCTTGTCGAAGTATATCCACATCTTGTTTGAGAAAATCTACACACATTTGCACGCTTTGTAAACTAATCTGATGTTCTGCACAACTTTTTTCCAAGTTTAAGATAGCAGTATCTTTACTTGCGATAGCGTCAGTATAAATGACTACTTGGTTGGTTAAAGAATCAATTTGCTTTATCATCAATTCTAACTGAATCTCTAACTGTTCTTTAGACTCAAAAGTACGTTCTTTTTCTTGATGAACCAATTGTAACTCTTCAGCTAGTTTGTAAGAGTTTGATACCTCTTGATCTCTCGCTTCTTCCAACAATTTTACCTTATCGGTTAACTCAAATATCGCATCATTAAGTAACAGTACTTCATCTTGCGCATGCGCTAATTCATCATTCAAAAGTTGAACTTCTTTTTTTAAGTTTTCTTTAACTTCTTCGTTTTCCATATAAGTTTCTTCTTGTTTTGCTTTCCATTGTTGAATAAACAATTCTTTTTCTTGAACGTTTACAAATATTTCATTTCTTAAAAATTTTAAAGCAACTTCACTATCACATTTCTCTTTTAAAAGTTGGTCAATACGAGTTTGCATCTCACTAATTTGTTGGACAAAATCACGCTTCTCAACAAGATGACATTCAACTAAGTCACAAGTTTTTTGATGAACCTTTTCAATCTCCGTATTTAATTTACTAAGTTCTAACTGATAATTAGTTATTGATTGTTCATATAAAGTGATTTCTGCTTTATCAAATAATGGATTTTCATTTCCAAATTCTTTATTATTTTTAGGTTTTAATTTTTCTACTAATTGAAGGTTTTCATTAACAATATACTGTAGTTGACTTTCTAGCGATGTTATATTATTTTTACATGTCTGTATCTCTTTTTGATATTCATCTATAAATTTCTGAGAATCATTTAACTTTACAAGATTTTGCTGATTTTCATAGTAAGATTGTTTTAAGACATTATCAAAATTTAACAATTTCTCATTTAAATGTGATAAACTTTCATTGTTAGCATTTATAATACCATCTTTTTCTAAAGTTTCCTGAACCATTGCATTAAGTTTTTCATTTAACTGTGATATTTCAACTTGATAGTGATTTTCGATTTGGCTTATTTGATTCTTCAGAAACATAGTTTGCTGTTCATGATTTGTTTGCAATGATGTTATAAGTTGAGATTTTCCATGAATCAGTTCGTTAATCTCCTCACGTAAGTTTTTAATTTGTTTTTCACAGAGAAGACGATCATTCAAAATGCTATTTAGTGAATTTTGGTAGTCTTCTTTCATTACTTCTAGTTCCTTTTTTAATATAAATACTTCGTCTTTACTTTCTTGTGCTTCTTTTTTAAACTTTCTACAGAGTTTTTTTAACTTCAGTATATATTTTTTAGAAGAATCCTCAGATCCTATTGGAGCTTCCATTTGAGTTTGATCTTCTGCAACTGATTCAATAAATTCAAGTCGAATTTCACTTTTAATAGGGGAAGTGTCAAACGATTGTTCCAATAAAGAATCGTTATCTTTTGCATGCATGCTTGAAGGCCCAACAGTTCCAACACTTAAAAAAGAATGAGGCTTTTCGGAGTGAAGCTGGGAGCGAGACGATAAATTGCTTGGCTGCAAACCTAATCTTTTAGCATCAACATTAGTAAAAACATCAATTTGGTTTTTCAAAGAAAAATTTTCTTCCTGTAAAGCTATATTAGCCTGTCGAGCATTATCTAAATCTTCTCGAAGACTGGAAAAAATGTTTTGGTATTTATCATGAATGATTTCTTCAGCATTTTCTTTTTCTGAAGTGACTGTTAGCAACTCCATTTTTAAGTTACTAATAGATTGTTCTAATAATTTGATTTTCTGAAAATAAATACTATCCTCAATAGCAATCTCAGCATGCTCATTAACTTTTAAAGGATAAGGATTGTTATTTGGAAGCAGTTCTATGTTTTTATTAATACAATTTGATTCTATGGTACTTGTTAAACTTTGTTCATCGTGTTTATTTTTTGAATTTTCCAACTCTAAACTTTTAATTTTTTCATTTAGTTCATTAATTATAAATTGATTTTTTTCAAAACTCTTTTCTGCATCTATAATTAGCAACATTCTTTCTTTCAACTGTTGATTTTCGTTTTTCTCATTTAAGAGTTCTGTCTTAATATTTTTTAAAGATTCGGTCAGCAAAGAAATTTGGGCATCTAATTCCATTTTTTCAGTCTCTGATTCATCAATGCTTTGTTCCATTAATCTGTTTTGCTGAATTACGTCTCTTAAATTACTTTGAATAATAGTCTGTTCATTATTTAATGTTTTGATTTTTGCCCTCATATTTTCAATGATATTATTCTTTTCACTAAAAACAGATTCAAATTCAAAACGCAAATCTTTTAATTGTTTGCTTTTGTTCAATACTATCTGTTCAATTTCTGATGATTTTTTATTAAGTATCTCATTTCTGAGAGATATTAATGAGTTATTCTGTACTTCCTTATCTTTAATTATAGATTGCAATGTTTGAACCTGTGTTTGAAGAAGAGCTTGATTATTTTGCAAATCATTTATTCTGTCTAAGTATCCTGAAATTTGAGACGACATGTCTTTTATGTGTTTATCTTTATCTTCAAGAAGTGCAGTAAAATCATTTTGAAATTTCTGTATTTCAATGTTATTTGATGAAACAGTTTGGCGAACTTGTTGTTCTTTTTCCATTAATAATGATGTTAGACGACGTTCTAGCGCATCAGTTTTTTCATTAAAAGCCATCTCTTTTCTTGTAATTTCTGCTGTTAAACGATTGTGTTCTTCATCAACAGCATGTTGAACAACTAGATCCTGATCTGCAAGACGTTTTTTCAGATCAATTAACATTTGATCTTTTTCTGTAATGCTTGCATCAAATGTGCTTCTTAAGTTTTTAATTTCTTCTGCTTTACTAAAAAGAACCTCCTCAAGTTTGCCATCAGCATCTAATTTAATTTGTTTTTTCTCATTAGATAAAAGCTCAAACTCTAATTTTAAACTATCATAACTTAATTTCATACGACTAAGATTTTCATCTAATGTACGATTTTCATTACTCAGTGTAGCAACATAATCATCTGCTTCTCGTAATCGAGATTCAATCTTTTCATAATATTTTTGTTTTGAGAGCAACTCAGCAGCAACTTCAACACGTGATTTCAACTCTGCTATTACATGCTCTTTTTCATTTAACAACTTCTCTTTATCGCGTATTTTGTTTGAAAGAAAAGCAATTTCATCTAAGTTATTTTTTAACTTTAGCTCAAGTTCTAACACGGTTAACTCAAATGCAGTTTCATATTCATGTCGATCTTTAAGCGCAATTTCTACATCAGTACGCAGCCCAGAGCTAATATCATCAAACTGATTGGTTGATTTATTTGAGATTTTTTCATTGGTTAAGCGCTTTAGCTCCTCTTTGAAAAAGTCTCTTTCTTTCTGTAAATGTTTAGATTCATTTATCATATCTCTGCATTGGGCACAGGATAAGCTAAATGTTTTATTATCATCTAACAATTTAGCATTTCTGTTGATATCATTAGGAATACTATTTAAATCAGCATTATTGTTTTTTGAAATAAGATTCTCAAAGTCAGAAACTGTTTCTTTAACTTCTAAACTACCTAATAATGAATATCTGTCAAGTAAAGCTGAATCAAATTTAGTTAGCAAACTTGTTTCTTTTGCCTGAGCATTTTTCTTCTAAAATAAAAATAAAAAATAATAGACTTTTGTCAGAACTTTTTTTAAACATTTTACATTCATTATAGCACCCTTGAACATTCTCTACTTTAATAAATCTGTAAAAAAAATCAACAAATATGTTAACTATGACCTTAAGAAACTATGCAATTGGCTTAATGCAAACAAAATTTCCCTCAACTCCAAAAAAACTGATTTAATATTATTTAAAAGTCCCCACAAAAAATTAGACCAGCAGATCAAAGTTAAATTAAATGGGAAAAAACTTTGTTGTAAAAAATTTGTTAACTACTTGGGTATAAAGCTAGACGAAAACTTAACCTGGGCTTATCATTATAACGATATCTCTAATAAGTTAAATAGATCCCTTGCCATTCTGTCAAAGACATTTCATTCAACAAAAAACTTTAAAATCTATTTACTATGCTTTATTTCACTTTCACCTCACATATTGCCTTTTATCATGGAGTCAAAATATGAGTATTATTAATCGCCTGTTTATCATGCAGAAAAAAGCAGTCAGAATTATTGAATTTCTTCCAAAAAATTCACATACATCCACATCTTTTAACACATTACATATCTTGAAAGTACATGGTTTAATCAAAATTGAAAATTTTAATTAAACAAAATCCTATGGTAAACAATCCTTTAAATACTCTGCATTAATGAACTGGAATCAACTTCGAAATAAATTAAAAACAATCCCTTTTTGCAATATTAAAAAATATACTTTCAAAACTAAATTAAAATACTACCTGATACATCAAGATAAATTGAAACAACAATTGAATCGTTGGTGATAAAAGATTTATGACAATAGAAGTTATATGAGATATGATATAAATATGAATGTTAAATAATAGCAACCTTATGTGAATGTATTAGCTAGATTGTTTGTTTGTTTTTTTTTTGTTTTTTTTTTCTTTCGTTTTTATTTTGCTCATGGTCGCTCTCCTTGATTTAGCCAGGCTATATGAGAGTGAACCATCCAGAATATAGACTATACATATATTTTTTTTTATTTGTATTTTATAACATGCTTATTGTAAAACATCTATATTCTTGGTAAATGTATTGCTTTTTGCTTTGCTTTGCTTTGCTTGAATATGAAAAACACTACATATTATTTCTATAATTTTTTTTATGAATGTGATTGTCATATTCATGTATTGTCTGAATACTAGTAACAAACAACGAAATAAATATGATATTTCAAAAAACATGAAACTACTGAAACTACTATTCGTTTTTTTATTTATTCTTCAAATATTTTGTGACAATGTGTTTTTGTAATTCTTTTATTTACTGAATTTTTGTTATGCTTTTTTGTGATTATGTGTTTGTCACTATTTATATAATCACAATTTTTGTAATTTTGTATTTTTTAACCCTTTTTTTTTTGTAGAGTTGATGGTGGTGATGGGGATTATGTAAATTTTTGCAATCCTTTCTTTTGTAACTATGAAAGATTTTGTGACACCATTAAAAAACTATGACATTTGTAATAATGTAAAACTATGAAATTAAAAAAAAAACAAGACATAAACATTTGCTCCAAATATCTTTTAAACCTGATTGACATAATACCTAATAACATAAACCTAATTGAGAAAATCTAATCTTTATTTTTCATATACAATAGCAAAAAAAAAAAAAAAAAAAAAAAAAACACTAATACAATTGACTCAATGAATAAAAAGTCATTTGATATGAGCTTAAAGTAATTAAAGTGTTTGAGAAAAATGAAAAAAACTTACTATTTCAACTTCTAACTCATTTTTCAGTTCATGTACTTGATCTTCCAATTTTTTTATGTAATCAGATTTGTGAACAATCTTATCTTTTAACCCTTTAACTTCTTCTTCTTTTAAATCAAGCATTACCTGCTTCTCTTGTAGGCACGATTCAGATGAAACAATAGAATTTTTCAGCAACTGATTTTCAACCACTAATGCCGATTGTTTATTATCCAAGTCATCTTTAAAAAATGTTGTTTCTGTTAACTGTTCTTTAACATCAGCTAGTTCATCTTTTAACTCATTATTTTCTTCCATAAGATCATACAAGTCTGCTTCTTTCATGTTTAATTTTTCTTCAACATCATTTATTTTTGCAACTAGAATTTTCATAGATTCATTTTCTCTAAGTGATTGGCTTTTTAAATTTTGACAAAAAGATTCTGATTCTTTATATTTCTGTTCAAAATCAATCATTTTTGTATTCAAAGCCATTAAGTACTCATGTGTGTTACTGATAAAATTCTTTATACTTGATGATAGAGAGCTCTCAGGCCATTCAAGAATTGATGTATCATCAGATATTCCAGGTATTATTCCATAATTTTCAGGTGTTTCATTTACGATTTCTTTAATATAAAGATTCCATTTCATTAATATATAATCTAAGAATTTCAATACATTACTTACTTCCAATTTTGATTTTTCTATTTCCATTTCTTTTTCATTAATTCTTGAAGTTACTTCTATCTTATAAGCAGATAATTGGTCATATAACGAATGTCCATTGTCATTTAAATCAAACAGAATCTTGATATTCTCTAATTGAGTATCATTTTCTTTTTTATGAGTTTGATAGTTTGAGAAAAGTTCTTCATTAGTTTGACACTTTTTATAAAGTTCTTCTATTTCATTTGCTTTTTGTTCTTCTAACATCTGATATTGAGATTTTAGATACATCAAATCTTTTTGTAGAACCAGATGATCATCAAGCAATTTTCCTAGCGTATCTTCTTTTACTTTTAATGCATCTTCTAGTGCTGTTTTTTCCTCATTCCAACTCTCTTGATTTAACTTAATTTTATTTGATAGTTTCTCAAGCTTCTTACTTTGATATTCTTTGTCACTTAAATCTCTATGCAGTTCTTCATTTAGTTGTTTAATATCCTTAATGTCTTTTTTAAGGTCTTCATTTTCTCTTTGAAGACATTTGAATTCATCTTGCAATGTAACAAAATTATGTAGCTTTTCATTTATTGATTCTGTTAACTTTTGGTTTACTAGTTGAATATTGCTTAGTTCCTCTTGTATGTTATTAGCATGAAATACTTGTTCTTCATAAGACACAATGTATGAATCACGAGATATTTTAAGTTCCTGGAACGCAGAGTCATTTTCCTTTGCATTAGCCTCAAGAGACTTAACTGTCATTGTTAAAACTTTATTGCTTTCTTCTAATTTTAATATTTTAATGTTTTGTTCTTGGAGATTTTGTGAGAGCTCATTAAAAAGTAAATCTTTTTCTTCTGACAAACGATCAATTTCAGACTGTAAATTTTCAATAAAATGATCTCTGTCCTTAATAGTCTGCTTGACTTTAATTTTTAATTTTTTGATAACTTTGTCCTTGTGTTCTTGCAGTTGTTCAAGATTTTTGTTTAATTCAATAATAGAGGTATTTTGTTCTAACAATAAAGTTTTCATGTTATTGTTTTCATGTTTAAGTATTGCATTTTCTTCTTTTAGATTTTCCATTTCAACTTGAAATCTTGATGCTAAGTTGACTTCTTGTTTTAGCTTGTATTTTTCCTCAATTTCTTTTCTTAACTTTGATTTTAACTTTGTAATAATAACTTCTTTTCTCTCTTTAATGGCTGAAAGTTTCTCAATGTTCTCTATAAGATCTTCAACTTGTTTCATCAAGCCAAGATCAGAATTTACAGGGTGTTCAGATGCATAATTTGTAGAAAGAAGATCTTCAGAAACTTTCCACCCAGGTTCGGATTCTTGATCATATAAAGTACTAGCATTAATAGAAATTTCACATGAGACATTAGACAATGACTTATCAATTAAAGGCGTATCAATTGCAGATACATTTAGTATCTTTTTATTTTTCTCCCTAATTGGTGTTGAAGCAGATGCTGAACTTTCTAAAAGTGGTTTGGATGAGGACAAAGAACTTTCTAAAAACGGTTTTAACGGAGAAGCATTTTCTGAGAGAGGATTCAAAATATTATCTTTCGACTGACATTCTTCTTTGTTTATGATATTTTCATTTAGTTTGCTATTGTTCAGATTAAATTTTTTATTTTTGCATAAACTACATATAGATTTATCAGGTTTTTCTTGGAAATCAATAGGCAATGAAAAAACACCTTGTTCAGATCCCTCCAGAAACCCTCTTAACATTTGAAGCTCTTCTAAAGTTCGACTTGACTCTTCACATGACTCTTCAAAAATAGATCTTTCAGATTCTAAAGTTTCATTTTCTTGACTTATAACCTGAGTAAATTGTTGTTTATTAATTATATTTTCAAGTTCTTTAATTCTATCAGCCATTTCTTGTATTTCTAAATGTTTACTTTGCAGAATTAAAAAAGCGTTTGATTTTTCAGCCTCTAAGCTATCATTACTAAGTGCTACACTTTCATTTAAATGTTTAATTACAGATTCATTCATTTCAGATAATGATTTTGAGCTTTCTGTTTCTACTTCCTTAGTTTGCAAAATACCTTGCAAATCTACAATCATTTGGTCGCGCTGTGCAATTTCAACCCTTAGGTTATTCAATTGACTCTCTCTAGTGATTAGGCTATCATAAGCTTGTGATAACTGATATTCTTTATTTAACAAAAGTTTATTGAGTTCATCAAACTGTTTTTTCAGTATTTCCGACTCATCTTTGTATTTTAGCAAATTTTTCATTTGTTCTTCATAAAAATTGCAATTATTTTTCAGTTGATCTATTAAACAATCTTTTTCAATTATGACATCTTCAACTTCTTTAGAATATTTACTATGAGAGCTTCGTTCATCATCTAAATCTTGTTTTAAATGATCATAGTCTACAACATTTGATTCTAAATCTTCACACTTTTTAGTCAGATCATTGACTTGAGACTGAAGATAACTGGCTTTATCTGACAAATTTTTCAACATAAATTCCTTTGTTTCTAGTGCCGATAAAATTTTACTAATTTCAGAGTTTAATTCTTCTCTATTTAACCTCTCTTGCTCAGACAAATAACAAAGTTCATTATCTTTAAGAACAATAATTTCTCTATTGTGAGCAATTTCCTCATTTTTCTTTTGCATGGTTTGTTTTAACTCATGGTGTTCTTGAGATAGCAAATCGTACTTTTCTGCTTTTTGATGGAGCTCAGCCATTGAATCTTTAAACCACATTAACTCTTCTTTTAATGTTGCAATTAGGTCATCCTTCTCAGAATTGTGGTTAGCAATCTCTGTGGTTTGTAACAAAAGAATTTCTTTGTATTTCAACAACTGTTGATTAAGATTAAATATTTCATTTTGTTTTTCTTCTATGTGAGCATCATATTTACTTTTGGAATCAACAATTTCAATGTTTTGATTTTTTTCATGCAACTCTGCTAATAACTTGACATTAGAATCTTCAAGTATTTGTATTTGATTTTCTTTTTCATCTAACACAACAGAAAACTTGCCATTAGAATTTTCAAGACATTGTATATGATTTTCTTTTTCAGCTAAAGCAACAGTGAACTTGCCATTAGAATCTTCAAGATTATGTATTTTATTTTCTTTTTCATCTGACAAAGCAGACAACTTGACAATAGAATCTTCAAGATGTTGGATTTTCCTTTCTTTTTCAGCTAACACTGCAGACAACTTGATATTAGAATCTTCAAGATGTTGTATATTATTTTCCTTTTCAGATAAAACAGCAGACAACTTGACATTAGAATCTTCAAGATCATGTATTTTATTTTCTTTTTCATCTGACAAAGCAGACAACTTGATATTAGAATCTTCAAGATGTTGGATTTTCTTTTCTTTTTCAGCTAAAACTGCAGACAACTTGACATTAGATTCTTCAAGATACTGTATATGATTTGTTTTTTCTGCTAAATCAGCAGATAACTTGACATTAGAATCTTCAAGATTATGTATTTGATTTTCTTTTTCATCTAACACAACAGAAAACTTGATATAAGAATTTTCAAAACTTTGTACTTGATTTTCTTTTTCAGTTAACACAGCAGACAACTTAATATTAGATTCTTCAAGATTTCGTAAATGATTTTCTTTTTCAGTTAACACAGTTGAAATTTTTGCATTAGAATTTACAAGATACTGTATTTGATTTTCCTTTTCATTTAACACAGCTAATAACTTGGCAGAAGAATCGTCAAATAAGACTTTATCTGCTGATTTAGCTGCAATTATCTGCTTTAATTTTAACTTGAGCTTTTTTATTACTAAGTCTTTATGCTGCTTTAAATTTTCAAGTTCATCATTTACATTTTCATCTTTTACAAACTCTTCCCTTAAACTATTTGCTTCCTCCTTAAGAATTAAAATTTCACTAAAATACTGTTCTTTCAATAGCTTCTCACAATCACGAGCATACTCAGCTTCTTGCTGATTAGCAACTGCTGTATTCAAAGCTCTTTCTAACTCAACAACATCAGTAATTTCAACTTCTTGTTTAACAGGTTTTGAAATGTAAGCACTTTTCTCTATCTCTGCTTGATATAAACTTTCGTGTAATGTAACATGATCAAGCTTGTTCTGTAAAACAACTATTTGATGGTTTAACAAATTAATTTCACTTTCATGTTTATATATCAACTCTGCAATGCGAATTTCGTTTTCTTTTATGCAATTCTTTTGAAACTCTGCATTTTCCAGAGCTGATGATTCTAACATAACCATTCTTTCCTTGTTAAATTTTTCTTCCATCAATTTGTAGTTTTCTTCAACAACTTTATTTTTCATAATTTCATACTCTTCATGTGCAAATATTAAAATTTTCTGTTTTTCTTGCTCAAAAATATTTTCCATTTCAGCCTTAATGTTTAATCGTTCTTTGTGTAGGCTTTCATCTAAACTTTGAGTTTGTTTCTTTAATTCTTTTTTCAAACTTTGAATTTCTTCCTTATACTGAACACTTTCATTAATTAGTTTTTTAATATCTGCCTGCAGCTTTTCAACTTCTCTAGTCTTATCGAGATGTTTGTTTTCTAAACAGTTATATTTATCTTGAAGATTTAGATTATTTTGATGAAGTAATTCAACATCTTCTGATGATTTTAAAGTCTTAAAATTATTAATAAACTCCCCTAAACTGTCCATATCTTCGCTTTCTTCACCAAGAATTTTCATTAAACTAAAGAGCTTTTTGTTTTTTGAAGCAAGCAAAGATTTTTCCATGTTAGATGTCTCTAAAAGAACTTTTAGTTTAACAATTTCATTATTTAGTTTTTCATTCTCGCTGTGCCATAAAGATGATTTGTCTTGTAATTCTTTAGCAAGGAGTATTTCAGCTTTCTTCATTAGTGATAACTTTTTCTTCATCTTTGTTATAACTGCTTTTTGATCTTCATTCATTAACTTTAACTTTGAGATTTCATCATTTTTAGATTTGACTAAATCAGATAAATCTTCTTTATCATCGGTTAAATGATCAAGCTTCATTACATTATCAATATTATTATCACAATGCAACTCACCACTAAACTCTTTATTTTCTACTTGTTGTAACGTAAGATCTGAAGACTGCAAAAGTATTTCTGTCTCGCAGATTTTTGAATAACTTAAAGATTTATCATCTAAAATAATTTCATTTGGTGGAGTTTGATTAATCAACTGGTTATCTTTTGTTTTCTGGAACTCTGTTAATCTTTTTATTTCATCTTTTAAATTTATTATTGTGATTTGGTTCATTTCTTGCTCTATCTGTAACTCTTTGTAACAATTATTTAAACTGACAAGATTATTTTCAGAAGAAGTATGAGATTTTAAAAGCTTTTCAAACTCATTTTGTTTTTCAGCAAAATCTTTTTTTAGAGTCTGGCATTGCTTTAAAATTCTTGCTGTTTTTGTTTTTAAAGAGTTATAATCTTCAGTTAAACTTTTATTTATCTCTTTAGTTGAGTTTAATTCATCTTCTTTTAACTTTAATATGTTTTTAATTGATACCAAATCACGATTTAGGTCATTAATCGTGGATTCTTTAAGAGATAAATCATGTTCTTTTTTGTTAAGCATTTCCATAGTTTGTTTTAATTCTGTTTCTTGTAAATCTAAAACTTTTATAAGTTTTTCTGCTTTAAAAATATCTATATTTTCATCAGATGATTGATTAGGCAAAAGTTCATCACAATAAGCTGTGAAGTTTTTAAGTGTTTTAGATAAAGCTTCATATTCAGTTGATTTAATTCTAACAGCACTTTGAAGCTCTGATATAATTTGATTGCCTGAATCTTTTTCAAACTGAGCCTGTTGATACTTTGACATTAAATCATCATTTATTTGGTTAAGATGTAAAAGCTCTGCTGATTTACTTTCAATTACGTTTTCTAAACATGAAATTTTTTCCTGAGCTGAAACTGATAATTCTTTCATTGTATAATATTCTTTTTCAACATTAGAGCAATACTCTTTAAAATTTTTTAAGTCACTTTCAAGCTTAGAACAATGATCCTTGTGCACTTCAAGATCTTTTTCAATATTACAACAATAATCTTGTTTTGTTCTAAGCTCGCTTTGAAGCCTTAAAAGATATTCACTGCTATGCTCAAATTCTTTTGCAAAACTAATGCATTCTTCTTCTTTTGCTTTGATGTTATGTTCCAGCTTAGAGCAGTACTCTTCTTTTGCTTTAAGATCATTTTCAAGTTTAGTGCAATACTCCTTATTAAATAAAAACTCTTTCATAATATAAGAGCATTCATCCTCTTTAACTCTAAGTTCATTTTCAACTTTCAAGAAACACTCCTTACTTTTAACAAGTTCTTCTATAACATTAGAGCATTCTTCTTCCTTAACCTTAAAATCATTTTGAGCCTTAGAATAAGACTCTAAACTAGCCCTTAAATCTTTTTCTATATTTAAAAGACGATCTTCATTGATTTTAAGACACTTTTCAGCTTCTTTACAAAGTTCTTCTTTTTCTTTGAGTTCTTTTTCAAACTTATTATACTGTTCTCTGCTGATTTTTTCTAAAACTTCAATTTGATGTAACTTTTCATTCAGTTCCAATTTTAATTTGACAACTAATTCATGATTGTTTTTATTGGTGTTTTCTTTGAGTACAATTTCATTGTACTCATTTTGAAGTTGATTATAGGTTTCACAACATTTTTTAAGTTCTTCAGAGATACGATAACAGTCATTTTCTTTTGATGAAATAATGGAACATAAATGCTTTTGTTCTTGTTGCCAGGTTTCTCTATCAGCATTGGACTTTTGCAGTTCCATATTTAAATTCAAATTACAAATCTCTGCTTCTTCATTTTTATGCTTCAATTCACTAAGTGATGAGTTTAGCATTACTATTTCACATTCTTTGGTTTCTAGAAGTTTCTCTAAGTTGTATTTCATTTCCTCCTCAACTTTTAGACCATCAATTTGTTCCCTCAGTCTTTTTATTTGCTCATCTTTCACTTTGTTATTTTCTTTTTCAATCAAAAGCAGATTGTTTAATTCTTTTTGAGTTTCTGTTAACATTGCAACTTCAACACTTAGTGAAGCAAATTCTTCAACTTTTGAATTAAGAGATATTTTTAAGTTTTTATTTTCTTCTTCATTATTTATTAAAGCAATATTGAGTTTTTCCCTGATCAAATTACTTTCAACACTCTGAGATTGTAAATTTTCAAGTTTTTCCATTAATTGATGCATCTGTTTTAATGTGTTAGTTAACTCTAACTCTTTACTGTTTAACTTAATCACAACATCTTGTTTTTCCTCATTTAATACACTCATTGAATCTTTCATACTTTTTAAAAGATCACATAGTTCATTTATTTCTTCACTCTTTTGCTTTAACATTTGGTCATGGTCATCAATATGTTGAAGTTTTGAGTGAAGTAATTTTATGGCTTCATTCTTTGATAGTATGCTACTATTCAAACTTGAAACATTTTCTTCATATTCATTGATTATGTTATTCATCTGAGCTAATCTATTTTCAAAATCAATTTCTTTATTGGTAAGTATTGTTTTTAATGATGCCTCAGACAACAAAGCACTTTCATACTGTTTTTGAAGATCACTATAAATTTCATTAGCTTCTCTGAGATCATTTTGATAAGATGTTTCAGTGTTAGTAATTTCTTCCTTTAGTCGATCAATAACAACAGTTTGTTCTGCAATAGATATTTTTAATGATTCTAAATACAAATCTTTTTCATTTATAGTTAGCAAAAGATTTTCTATATTATTTTTACTTAAAAATAAATCATTTTGCAGTAACTCGACTTGATCAAGCATAGATTTGACAGCCTCCTCTTTTGATCGCAGATTTGCATTAAATACTTCAACCAAATTATTTTTCTCGCTAATCTCAATTTCTAACTTTGATTTATCACTAGACAAAGATTCTACCATTTGTTGAAAATTTTCAATTTCTGCAACCAATTTGTTCAGAGTTTCTTCTTTCATATGAAGTTCAGTCATAATAGCATTCTTTTCTTTCTCGCCTGCTTTCTGGTTTTCTTCAACTTTTTTTAAAATTGCTTCAAGTTGATTTTTTAAAGCAATATTTTCACTTGAAGTGCTACTAAGTTGCTTAGTAACCTCAATATGATTATCTTTTTCTTCTTCAGATTTTGCCATATTTTCCTGCAAAACTTTAAAACTTTTTGTTTTTAGTTCCAAATCCTGATTTAATGATACAATAACCTGGTTTAATTCAAGTTCTTTGGCAACTTGATCAGATGACAATGAAGCTAAGTCTTGAAGTTTGTCTTCTAATTTGCAGCAATTTTGTTGCAAAATCTCAATTTGTGAACGAGTTGTTTGCAATTCATTTTCAAGTAAAGCTTTTTTTAGTTGTTCATCTGTAAGTAGCTTTTTAAGTTGTTCACACTCAGCTGACTTTTCTAAACAAAAATGACATAAAATTATTAAATCTACACATTGAAAATGCAAAGAAAAGTGAACAGTAAAAAAAAGCTTAAAAGTGAACAGAAACAACTTTTTAACTTAATGAGTAGGAAATGAAGTATTCTCATATTTGTTTATCTTAAGTGGTTTATTTTTATGAGCTCTGCAAGTTTGCTTAGAGTCTGTAGCAGAATTAAAATGAATTCTGATATATCAAAATATGACAAGAATTTTTACCAACCATAGAAGAATTATTGATGAATAGTAATACAACAAGATAATGCCCAATTGGCCTGCACAAGTCCTGAACTTAATCCCATAGAAAACTAATGAGCTTATTTATACCAAAATTACATACCAAATATTAATTTTGCATATATATTTACTCAAAAATTATCTAAATATTTATTTTTTTAAATTTGTATATGTTTATAAAACTATTCTTTAATAATATTAAGTATATAAGTTTTTTAAAAAAACTTGTTACTGTTCACTTTCTTTTTGCTATTTGCTTGTTATTGTATATACACAAATATATTTGCATACTTAGATTAGCATAAAACAACATTGATGACATACAAAAATAGAGAGCTGTGAATGTTTCAGTACATACACCAACTAAAGACTTAGGTTTAGTGGATATTTTCTAGATATGAACTTTTATTGAGGCAAAAAAAAACATTCTTTTTTTTTTATTATTCTTTTTTAACTCTATTTTTTAAAAGAAAACTGTTAGAATTCCAGTCTGGACTTTTGAACTTTAAGTTTAATATATGTGTAGTGTGTAAATTTAAATATGCAAAGATAATGATATATATATATATATATATATATATATATATATATATATATATATATATATATATATATCAGGGTGTTAGCCAGGAATATATTTTTTAAAACAATTTTTATTCTACATAATATTGACAATTTTTATTGATACTATTACTAAAAAAAATAATAATTGAATTTTGGAAATTTTATACCCAGTTGGGAATTACACGTTATATGCAGTGCTATTGGGCTAGCTAACACTCTGTGTGTGTGTATATATATGAATAGAAATTTTGTTTTCTAACAAATTGGTTATATGTTAATTGCATCTATAAAAAAAAAGGTAAACAAAATTTACACAACTTAATTTTAACATTTTAACTGTATTTGTTTTAATTTTAATATAGACAGTCATTTTAAGTTCATTTTTAATCATAAAATTTTCCAGGTTTTAAACTGTTTGAAAGCAAGAAATAAATTAGTCTTTTTTTTTTTTAAGATTAAATTTATAAATAATTTTAATGTAACAATAAATAAATTTGACAATTATTCATTTTAAGTATTAAATTAAATTTATATAACTAAACAATTAAATTTATTAAAGTTTATTTATTATATAAAAAATTATTATTTTTATAATAATTACTAATATTATTATAAATTTATATGATAGCAACTAATAACTTTTAATTCAATTTAAAAGTAAATTTGTATTAGCAAACATATATATTAATTTAAAAAATTAAATTAAAAATAATTTATATGTAATGTCAAATTACTTTATATATAATTTATAGTATATATATATATATATATATATATATATATATATATATATATATATATATATATATATATATATATATATATATATATATATATATATATATATATAATTTACAGATCACTATCAAACAAAGCATCAAGTGTCAGCAATTAGACTTGACGCTAGATTAAGTTTAGGTGGTTCAAAAAAACAACATTTTTAAAAAATATCTGCAGCATGCACTTTAATGTGTTCTATATGATAAAACACTGGATTTAAAAGTTTTTTGAATAAAAAATATTTTTAGGGGTGTCTCGAGAGCTTTACATTTAATGTTTTCCTCACATTTAGAGGTGTCTTAAGACCCTTAACATTTAATGAGTCCCTAATATTAATAAATAGTATGTCTTGTTGGACATCAAATGAATCAAAGTTTCAAAAATAAACATCATTTTATAAAAAAAATAAAAAAATAAAATTTAATAACAAATATTTTGAAAAAAAAATTTTATAATTTTTTTTTTTGTAATAAAGCATATTTTTTATTTTTGATAAAAAATGTCATTTTCTAGGCAATAAAATCTAAAATAATAATTTATAAAATGATGAATTTTTAAATTTTATATAATTTTTCATCATTTGAGATCCAACAAGACAAACTTTTGAAAAAGTTTTTTTTATTAATACAAGGGACACTTTAAATATTCAAGAGTCTTGAGGCACCCCTAAAAATATTTTTTATTCAAAAAACTTCTAAATCCAGTGTTACTTTATCATATAAAACACATTAATGTGCATACTGCATATATTTTTATAAATTTTCTTTGAAGCACTTCAATATATATATATATATATATATATATATATATATATATATATATATATATATATATATATATATATATATATATATATATATATGTGTGTGTGTGTGTGTATATATATACACAGACTCACAAACGGAACTATATATTTGTATGTTGTTCTAATACTAATGATTTATATATCTATTATATAATAATATATTATGATTATTAATTACATTTAAAAAAAGTTCATAAAAATTAAGTTATAGAATATATTAGACTATCAAAAAATATAATATTTCAAAACAATACAAAAATTTACTGAAAATATAATTAAAAAAAACTTAAAGAAACATTAGTAAATAATAAGTGTGCTGACAGAAATTATCTCCAGAACATTATGTAACTAAGTTTAAAAAAAAAAATCCCCCTTTATAAAGTACAATATCATATCTGTTTTGTTAGAAATATATCTAGTATTTTCCAAAGAAATATAATTTATATTATGCTTGTATAAATTTATATTATGCTTGTATAAATTTATCATCAATCATTTTATCTTCTACCTTTTATTGTTATATGTTTAAAATTAATATGTTATATATATATCATTTATTTTTTGCTATCATGTTATACTTTTTAATATGTTTTAAAATTAGTTAATAATTACTTTTAAATTACTTTTAATACCTACTTTTATTTATAAGTATTACAACTTTTAAAATATATTAGGAAAAGTTTTAAATATCAGTTAACAATATAACTGGAGATAGCTCCAACCAATCAACACACTTACCATTATGAAAATGCTGAACTTCTGTCAAACGCTGTTCAATTACAGTACTGTTGTTAGTCATTTCTTCAAAACATTGCCGCAGAGAACCTATATTGTCATTGTAAATGCGTCTTTGCTCATCAAACTCTTCAGTTACTTGTTGCAACATTTTAGTTGTTGAAACCAATTTGTCAGAAACAGAGATACTTAAATTATTTTTTTCATTATACAAAATATTTATTTGAAATAAATCATTTTTGAGTGCTATCTCTTTAAGCTCAAGTTCATGAACAGTTTCTTTTAGTTTATTAATTTCAATATTTTTTTGTGCTATTTGATCTTTTATACTATTGATACAGGCTTCTTGTTCCTTAACCATTTCTGATAAGTGCATAATTTCAGACTCTTTGAAAATAACAGTCTGTTTCAGCTTTCGCAAGTCTTCATTTTCAATTGCCAACTTTTCTTTAAGTTGAACAAGCTCTGCTTGACAAGAAACTAGCTTTTCAATAAGATCATTCTCACGCCACATACTTTGCTGCTGCTGCTGATAAAAGTCATTACTTAAAATATCAAAATGATATTTCATGTTTGAAAGATCAACTTTTGCATTATCAGTTTCTTGAGAAAACTTAATAACAAGTGACTCATATTCTTTGATCTTTTGCTCTGAACGCTTAATTTTATCTTTGAGACTCTTCTTTTCAGATTTTAAACGTTGTATAAGATCTTCATTTTTCTGTATAAGAAATTTAATTTCTGAAGCTTCCCTATCTGATTTAGGGTTAGTTACACCTAGTAATTTATTTGAAAAGTTCTCAGAAATAGTATCTTCTGAAGAATGTTGATAAATGTTATTAACTATAACTTCTTCATTATAAGAATCATCACTTTGTATATGAGGTGTGCTATTATTTTGAATTTGGGGTGTAACATTATTTTGTATTTGGGGTGTATCGTTATTCTGTATTTGAAGTGCACCTTCAAATTGAACATTTTCATGATTTTGTTCTTCTAGCACTACTTCATCTATTATTTCATCATTTATCATTTGTTGTTTTTTCAATAAAACATTATTATAAGAACTATTAATATTCCTTAAATCATCATCACTATTGCTAAATGAATTAATTTTTAATTCATAAGTTTGAGGATCCAACAGTTTAGACTTTAGATTTGACTCAAGTTTATCTAACTGATTCTTTAAATCAACTTTACTTGATTCAGTAATCTTCATCAATTCACAATCATTTCTAATGTTGCTAATTTCATTAAAAATAATTTTTTCATTGGACTTACAACAGAAAACAGTTGATTGAAGACTGTTGATTTTTTTAACATACTCTGAGAGCAGAAGTTCTAGTTCGCTTTTATCATTTTCAAGTTTTTTTATTATAGCTTTATTCTCTTTATTTCGTAATTTAAGACAATCAATTTCAACTTGGTTCTCTACATGAAAATTTTTTATTTTACTTTCAGCACGAATGAGAGTTGATTTTAGTTGAGAAATTTCTTCATTCAAGTGAACAAACTCTTCTTCCTTTATTTTAGACTCGTCATCAGTTGAATTAACTTTTTGTTCAATTAACTTTTCATTTTCAATAGCTTTTTCATTTAAAGTTTTAATTTCTTCTTCCATTTTCACAATTAATTTTTTTCTAATTAAAAGATCATCTGTGGCAACTTTTAAAAGATTTTCATTTTCAAGCACTTTATTTTGTAAAGTAGAAACATTTTCATTCAAAGAAAATTCTTTTAAAAGTGCTGATTCTTTATAAAAAACAAAGTCATTTTTTAAAACTTCTTTTTCTTGATGAAGTACCATCAACTCATTTTTCAGTCTATCAATAACTTCATTTAATTCATTAACAGTAAACAACAACATTGAAACTTCTTGCTTTAATCTATTGTTTTCATCAGAACAAAGCTTAAAACTTTGAGACATATCATTTAAACATTTATCTGTACTAATTAGTAAACTCTCGTTATCTAATATAGTAACAGATTGGTGGTCTAATTTACTTTTCAAAGATACTATTTCATTCTCAAGTCTAATAATATCTTCTTTGGAACTTTCCAGATTTTTATTTAACTTAGTAATAATAGCTTGGTAATTTTGACTTTCAAATTGAACTTCTTTTTCTTTAACTTTATATCTTTCTTCAAAGATTATAGCCTTTTGTTTAAAGTCTTCTAGAGCATTCAATTCATTTTGAAGATCAACACATTTTGCTAACGATTCAGATAGTTTTATGTTTGATTCTTCCAAACTCTTAGTAAAAAAAACTTCCTTAGTTTTAAAGTCATTTTCCTTAATCTTATAACGGTCCTTATAAAGAGCAACTGTTTTCAAAGCAGCATCTAATTCAAACTTTAATTTCAAATCATCTGCAGCTAATACAGATAATTTTGACCGGTACCTTTCTTCTTGATCTTGATATTTTTCTTTTAACTCTTGGTTCTCTCGGCTTAAATGAGAAATTAATACCTTTCGCATTTTAAGATCATCATAGTTTGAAAGCATTAAATTGATATTTTCATCTTCACATACAATACAATCTTTAGCAATAATATCATTAAAAATATTGGAGACATGTGGCTCTATAATAGCTTTATCATTATAAGGAATTATATTTTCTAAAGGCTTTGAAACAATGCATTTATTATTAAGGGGATCTAGTTTCATAGATTTACCTAAGGGTATCTCATATGTATCTAACTTCATGCCCAAAGATTCAACTTCATTATTTAAAGAAGATAACTGCAATAAAGAATTTTCATTCAATAACAAAATATCATTTTCAAGTTCAATGACACTTTGTTCAAGCTTCCGAATAAGATCATCTTTAAAAGATAAATCAAGTTTAAGAGAAGAAAACTCAGATACAACATGATCAAAATCATTGGACTTTTCCTGCAAAATCAGTGTATATTCATGAAGGCTTACTTCCAGTGCTTGGATATGTTTCTCTTTTTCTGACAAGCTCAACTCTAAACTAGCCACATCCAAGAGTTTTGCGCTCAAATCTGCCTCCAGCTTCTCCATGCTAAGAGTCATGTCACTGAGGGCCTGAGTCTTAGTACTTAACAAATCTTCTGACGCACATAGTTGGTCTCTTAAACTGTCAGTCGAACGTTTCTCTTTGTCCAATTCCGTGACCGCCTCTTCTAAAGCTGCAGATTTCGCTTGCAGCTGTTCTCTATCAACAACAAGGCACTTCTGAAGATCTGTCACAAGGTTATCTTTGACTTCCAGCTCACTCTTCAAATGATTCAAAGTGTCCTTCAATTCTCCGACTATGACACGTTCGTTGGCCAGATCATTAGCCATGACACTGCACTCATCAGCTTTTCTTGAAAAAGACAAATTTAAATTTGAAAGTGCTTCTTCTGCCACTAACAGCTTTTCTGTCAATACATCAACATTTTCCTTGAGAGAACATTCTTTGGCATTCATTTCGGTTACTTTTTGCTTAAAATTTGATAATGTCTTCTTTTTAAACTCCTTGAAATCGTCAGCATGTTTCTCTTTGTCTAGCTGCAAGGAAGATATAACAGACTGCAGCTGTTCGATTTCTGCAGTAAGTTTCGATTCGGTCGCATTTGAAGATTCAGACAATGAAAGAAGCTTTTCGTTTAACTCACGGAGCCTTTCCTTCTCCGATTCTATACAGTCCTTAAGCTTTGAAATCTCCTTTGATAGCTCTGCGTTCTCATTCAAATAAAGCATTTTTTCTGCACTCAACTCGTGAATTAAAGACGCTTTTGATGCTAGTTCATCTTCCAGTTGTTTACAATTATTTCTGAGGAGCAGTCTTTCTTCCTCAAAATTCTCTCTAGACGCACTCAAATCAGAGAACGCAGCACTGACCTCGTTCGACTTTTCCTGCAAAATCAGTGTATATTCATGAAGGCTTACTTCCAGTGCTTGGATATGTTTCTCTTTTTCTGACAAGCTCAACTCTAAACTAGCCACATCCAAGAGTTTTGCGCTCAAATCTGCCTCCAGCTTCTCCATGCTAAGAGTCATGTCACTGAGGGCCTGAGTCTTAGTACTTAACAAATCTTCTGACGCACATAGTTGGTCTCTTAAACTGTCAGTCGAACGTTTCTCTTTGTCCAATTCCGTGACCGCCTCTTCTAAAGCTGCAGATTTCGCTTGCAGCTGTTCTCTATCAACAACAAGGCACTTCTGAAGCTCTGTCACAAGGTTATCTTTGACTTCCAGCTCACTCTTCAAATGATTCAAAGTGTCCTCCAATTCTCCGACTATGACACGTTCGTTGGCCAGATCATTAGCCATGACACTGCACTCATCAGCTTTTCTTGAAAAAGACAAATTTAAATTTGAAAGTGCTTCTTCTGCCACTAACAGCTTTTCTGTCAATACATCAACATTTTCCTTGAGAGAACATTCTTTGGCATTCATTTCGGTTACTTTTTGCTTAAAATTTGATAATGTCTTCTTTTTAAACTCCTTGAAATCGTCAGCATGTTTCTCTTTGTCTAGCTGCAAGGAAGATATAACAGACTGCAGCTGTTCGATTTCTGCAGTAAGTTTCGATTCGGTCGCATTTGAAGATTCAGACAATGAAAGAAGCTTTTCGTTTAACTCACGGAGCCTTTCCTTCTCCGATTCTATACAGTCCTTAAGCTTTGAAATCTCCTTTGATAGCTCTGCGTTCTCATTCAAATAAAGCATTTTTTCTGCACTCAACTCGTGAATTAAAGACGCTTTTGATGCTAGTTCATCTTCCAGTTGTTTACAATTATTTCTGAGGAGCAGTCTTTCTTCCTCAAAATTCTCTCTAGACGCACTCAAATCAGAGAACGCAGCACTGACCTCGTTCGACTTTTCCTGCAAAATCAGTGTATATTCATGAAGGCTTACTTCCAGTGCTTGGATATGTTTCTCTTTTTCTGACAAGCTCAACTCTAAACTAGCCACATCCAAGAGTTTTGCGCTCAAATCTGCCTCCAGCTTCTCCATGCTAAGAGTCATGTCACTGAGGGCCTGAGTCTTAGTACTTAACATATCTTCTGACGCACATAGTTGGTCTCTTAAACTGTCAGTCGAACGTTTCTCTTTGTCCAATTCCGTGACCGCCTCTTCTAAAGCTGCAGATTTCGCTTGCAGCTGTTCTCTATCAACAACAAGGCACTTCTGAAGCTCTGTCACAAGGTTATCTTTGACTTCCAGCTCACTCTTCAAATGATTCAAAGTGTCCTTCAATTCTCCGACTATGACACGTTCGTTGGCCAGATCATTAGCCATGACACTGCACTCATCAGCTTTTCTTGAAAAAGACAAATTTAAATTTGAAAGTGCTTCTTCTGCCACTAACAGCTTTTCTGTCAATACATCAACATTTTCCTTGAGAGAACATTCTTTGGCATTCATTTCGGTTACTTTATGCTTAAAATTTGATAATGTCTTCTTTTTAAACTCCTTGAAATCGTCAGCATGTTTCTCTTTGTCTAGCTGCAAGGAAGATATAACAGACTGCAGCTGTTCGATTTCTGCAGTAAGTTTCGATTCGGTCGCATTTGAAGATTCAGACAATGAAAGAAGCTTTTCGTTTAACTCACGGAGCCTTTCCTTCTCCGATTCTATACAGTCCTTAAGCTTTGAAATCTCCTTTGATAGCTCTGCGTTCTCATTCAAATAAAGCATTTTTTCTGCACTCAACTCGTGAATTAAAGACGCTTTTGATGCTAGTTCATCTTCCAGTTGTTTACAATTATTTCTGAGGAGCAGTCTTTCTTCCTCAAAATTCTCTCTAGACGCACTCAAATCAGAGAACGCAGCACTGACCTCGTTCGACTTTTCCTGCAAAATCAGTGTATATTCATGAAGGCTTACTTCCAGTGCTTGGATATGTTTCTCTTTTTCTGACAAGCTCAACTCTAAACTAGCCACATCCAAGAGTTTTGCGCTCAAATCTGCCTCCAGCTTCTCCATGCTAAGAGTCATGTCACTGAGGGCCTGAGTCTTAGTACTTAACATATCTTCTGACGCACATAGTTGGTCTCTTAAACTGTCAGTCGAACGTTTCTCTTTGTCCAATTCCGTGACCGCCTCTTCTAAAGCTGCAGATTTCGCTTGCAGCTGTTCTCTATTAACAACAAGGCACTTCTGAAGCTCTGTCACAAGGTTATCTTTGACTTCCAGCTCACTCTTCAAATGATTCAAAGTGTCCTCCAATTCTCCGACTATGACACGTTCGTTGGCCAGATCATTAGCCATGACACTGCACTCATCAGCTTTTCTTGAAAAAGACAAATTTAAATTTGAAAGTGCTTCTTCTGCCACTAACAGCTTTTCTGTCAATACATCAACATTTTCCTTGAGAGAACATTCTTTGGCATTCATTTCGGTTACTTTTTGCTTAAAATTTGATAATGTCTTCTTTTTAAACTCCTTGAAATCGTCAGCATGTTTCTCTTTGTCTAGCTGCAAGGAAGATATAACAGACTGCAGCTGTTCGATTTCTGCAGTAAGTTTCGATTCGGTCGCATTTGAAGATTCAGACAATGAAAGAAGCTTTTCGTTTAACTCACGGAGCCTTTCCTTCTCCGATTCTATACAGTCCTTAAGCTTTGAAATCTCCTTTGATAGCTCTGCGTTCTCATTCAAATAAAGCATTTTTTCTGCACTCAACTCGTGAATTAAAGACGCTTTTGATGCTAGTTCATCTTCCAGTTGTTTACAATTATTTCTGAGGAGCAGTCTTTCTTCCTCAAAATTCTCTCTAGACGCACTCAAATCAGAGAACGCAGCACTGACCTCGTTCGACTTTTCCTGCAAAATCAGTGTATATTCATGAAGGCTTACTTCCAGTGCTTGGATATGTTTCTCTTTTTCTGACAAGCTCAACTCTAAACTAGCCACATCCAAGAGTTTTGCGCTCAAATCTGCCTCCAGCTTCTCCATGCTAAGAGTCATGTCACTGAGGGCCTGAGTCTTAGTACTTAACAAATCTTCTGACGCACATAGTTGGTCTCTTAAACTGTCAGTCGAACGTTTCTCTTTGTCCAATTCCGTGACCGCCTCTTCTAAAGCTGCAGATTTCGCTTGCAGCTGTTCTCTATCAACAACAAGGCACTTCTGAAGATCTGTCACAAGGTTATCTTTGACTTCCAGCTCACTCTTCAAATGATTCAAAGTGTCCTTCAATTCTCCGACTATGACACGTTCGTTGGCCAGATCATTAGCCATGACACTGCACTCATCAGCTTTTCTTGAAAAAGACAAATTTAAATTTGAAAGTGCTTCTTCTGCCACTAACAGCTTTTCTGTCAATACATCAACATTTTCCTTGAGAGAACATTCTTTGGCATTCATTTCGGTTACTTTTTGCTTAAAATTTGATAATGTCTTCTTTTTAAACTCCTTGAAATCGTCAGCATGTTTCTCTTTGTCTAGCTGCAAGGAAGATATAACAGACTGCAGCTGTTCGATTTCTGCAGTAAGTTTCGATTCGGTCGCATTTGAAGATTCAGACAATGAAAGAAGCTTTTCGTTTAACTCACGGAGCCTTTCCTTCTCCGATTCTATACAGTCCTTAAGCTTTGAAATCTCCTTTGATAGCTCTGCGTTCTCATTCAAATAAAGCATTTTTTCTGCACTCAACTCGTGAATTAAAGACGCTTTTGATGCTAGTTCATCTTCCAGTTGTTTACAATTATTTCTGAGGAGCAGTCTTTCTTCCTCAAAATTCTCTCTAGACGCACTCAAATCAGAGAACGCAGCACTGACCTCGTTCGACTTTTCCTGCAAAATCAGTGTATATTCATGAAGGCTTACTTCCAGTGCTTGGATATGTTTCTCTTTTTCTGACAAGCTCAACTCTAAACTAGCCACATCCAAGAGTTTTGCGCTCAAATCTGCCTCCAGCTTCTCCATGCTAAGAGTCATGTCACTGAGGGCCTGAGTCTTAGTACTTAACATATCTTCTGACGCACATAGTTGGTCTCTTAAACTGTCAGTCGAACGTTTCTCTTTGTCCAATTCCGTGACCGCCTCTTCTAAAGCTGCAGATTTCGCTTGCAGCTGTTCTCTATCAACAACAAGGCACTTCTGAAGCTCTGTCACAAGGTTATCTTTGACTTCCAGCTCACTCTTCAAATGATTCAAAGTGTCCTTCAATTCTCCGACTATGACACGTTCGTTGGCCAGATCATTAGCCATGACACTGCACTCATCAGCTTTTCTTGAAAAAGACAAATTTAAATTTGAAAGTGCTTCTTCTGCCACTAACAGCTTTTCTGTCAATACATCAACATTTTCCTTGAGAGAACATTCTTTGGCATTCATTTCGGTTACTTTTTGCTTAAAATTTGATAATGTCTTCTTTTTAAACTCCTTGAAATCGTCAGCATGTTTCTCTTTGTCTAGCTGCAAGGAAGATATAACAGACTGCAGCTGTTCGATTTCTGCAGTAAGTTTCGATTCGGTCGCATTTGAAGATTCAGACAATGAAAGAAGCTTTTCGTTTAACTCACGGAGCCTTTCCTTCTCCGATTCTATACAGTCCTTAAGCTTTGAAATCTCCTTTGATAGCTCTGCGTTCTCATTCAAATAAAGCATTTTTTCTGCACTCAACTCGTGAATTAAAGACGCTTTTGATGCTAGTTCATCTTCCAGTTGTTTACAATTATTTCTGAGGAGCAGTCTTTCTTCCTCAAAATTCTCTCTAGACGCACTCAAATCAGAGAACGCAGCACTGACCTCGTTCGACTTTTCCTGCAAAATCAGTGTATATTCATGAAGGCTTACTTCCAGTGCTTGGATATGTTTCTCTTTTTCTGACAAGCTCAACTCTAAACTAGCCACATCCAAGAGTTTTGCGCTCAAATCTGCCTCCAGCTTCTCCATGCTAAGAGTCATGTCACTGAGGGCCTGAGTCTTAGTACTTAACAAATCTTCTGACGCACATAGTTGGTCTCTTAAACTGTCAGTCGAACGTTTCTCTTTGTCCAATTCCGTGACCGCCTCTTCTAAAGCTGCAGATTTCGCTTGCAGCTGTTCTCTATCAACAACAAGGCACTTCTGAAGATCTGTCACAAGGTTATCTTTGACTTCCAGCTCACTCTTCAAATGATTCAAAGTGTCCTTCAATTCTCCGACTATGACACGTTCGTTGGCCAGATCATTAGCCATGACACTGCACTCATCAGCTTTTCTTGAAAAAGACAAATTTAAATTTGAAAGTGCTTCTTCTGCCACTAACAGCTTTTCTGTCAATACATCAACATTTTCCTTGAGAGAACATTCTTTGGCATTCATTTCGGTTACTTTTTGCTTAAAATTTGATAATGTCTTCTTTTTAAACTCCTTGAAATCGTCAGCATGTTTCTCTTTGTCTAGCTGCAAGGAAGATATAACAGACTGCAGCTGTTCGATTTCTGCAGTAAGTTTCGATTCGGTCGCATTTGAAGATTCAGACAATGAAAGAAGCTTTTCGTTTAACTCACGGAGCCTTTCCTTCTCCGATTCTATACAGTCCTTAAGCTTTGAAATCTCCTTTGATAGCTCTGCGTTCTCATTCAAATAAAGCATTTTTTCTGCACTCAACTCGTGAATTAAAGACGCTTTTGATGCTAGTTCATCTTCCAGTTGTTTACAATTATTTCTGAGGAGCAGTCTTTCTTCCTCAAAATTCTCTCTAGACGCACTCAAATCAGAGAACGCAGCACTGACCTCGTTCGACTTTTCCTGCAAAATCAGTGTATATTCATGAAGGCTTACTTCCAGTGCTTGGATATGTTTCTCTTTTTCTGACAAGCTCAACTCTAAACTAGCCACATCCAAGAGTTTTGCGCTCAAATCTGCCTCCAGCTTCTCCATGCTAAGAGTCATGTCACTGAGGGCCTGAGTCTTAGTACTTAACATATCTTCTGACGCACATAGTTGGTCTCTTAAACTGTCAGTCGAACGTTTCTCTTTGTCCAATTCCGTGACCGCCTCTTCTAAAGCTGCAGATTTCGCTTGCAGCTGTTCTCTATCAACAACAAGGCACTTCTGAAGCTCTGTCACAAGGTTATCTTTGACTTCCAGCTCACTCTTCAAATGATTCAAAGTGTCCTTCAATTCTCCGACTATGACACGTTCGTTGGCCAGATCATTAGCCATGACACTGCACTCATCAGCTTTTCTTGAAAAAGACAAATTTAAATTTGAAAGTGCTTCTTCTGCCACTAACAGCTTTTCTGTCAATACATCAACATTTTCCTTGAGAGAACATTCTTTGGCATTCATTTCGGTTACTTTTTGCTTAAAATTTGATAATGTCTTCTTTTTAAACTCCTTGAAATCGTCAGCATGTTTCTCTTTGTCTAGCTGCAAGGAAGATATAACAGACTGCAGCTGTTCGATTTCTGCAGTAAGTTTCGATTCGGTCGCATTTGAAGATTCAGACAATGAAAGAAGCTTTTCGTTTAACTCACGGAGCCTTTCCTTCTCCGATTCTATACAGTCCTTAAGCTTTGAAATCTCCTTTGATAGCTCTGCGTTCTCATTCAAATAAAGCATTTTTTCTGCACTCAACTCGTGAATTAAAGACGCTTTTGATGCTAGTTCATCTTCCAGTTGTTTACAATTATTTCTGAGGAGCAGTCTTTCTTCCTCAAAATTCTCTCTAGACGCACTCAAATCAGAGAACGCAGCACTGACCTCGTTCGACTTTTCCTGCAAAATCAGTGTATATTCATGAAGGCTTACTTCCAGTGCTTGGATATGTTTCTCTTTTTCTGACAAGCTCAACTCTAAACTAGCCACATCCAAGAGTTTTGCGCTCAAATCTGCCTCCAGCTTCTCCATGCTAAGAGTCATGTCACTGAGGGCCTGAGTCTTAGTACTTAACAAATCTTCTGACGCACATAGTTGGTCTCTTAAACTGTCAGTCGAACGTTTCTCTTTGTCCAATTCCGTGACCGCCTCTTCTAAAGCTGCAGATTTCGCTTGCAGCTGTTCTCTATCAACAACAAGGCACTTCTGAAGATCTGTCACAAGGTTATCTTTGACTTCCAGCTCACTCTTCAAATGATTCAAAGTGTCCTTCAATTCTCCGACTATGACACATTCGTTGGCCAGATCATTAGCCATGACACTGCACTCATCAGCTTTTCTTGAAAAAGACAAATTTAAATTTGAAAGTGCTTCTTCTGCCACTAACAGCTTTTCTGTCAATACATCAACATTTTCCTTGAGAGAACATTCTTTGGCATTCATTTCGGTTACTTTTTGCTTAAAATTTGATAATGTCTTCTTTTTAAACTCCTTGAAATCGTCAGCATGTTTCTCTTTGTCTAGCTGCAAGGAAGATATAACAGACTGCAGCTGTTCGATTTCTGCAGTAAGTTTCGATTCGGTCGCATTTGAAGATTCAGACAATGAAAGAAGCTTTTCGTTTAACTCACGGAGCCTTTCCTTCTCCGATTCTATACAGTCCTTAAGCTTTGAAATCTCCTTTGATAGCTCTGCGTTCTCATTCAAATAAAGCATTTTTTCTGCACTCAACTCGTGAATTAAAGACGCTTTTGATGCTAGTTCATCTTCCAGTTGTTTACAATTATTTCTGAGGAGCAGTCTTTCTTCCTCAAAATTCTCTCTAGACGCACTCAAATCAGAGAACGCAGCACTGACCTCGTTCGACTTTTCCTGCAAAATCAGTGTATATTCATGAAGGCTTACTTCCAGTGCTTGGATATGTTTCTCTTTTTCTGACAAGCTCAACTCTAAACTAGCCACATCCAAGAGTTTCGCGTTCAATTCTTTTTGTAATGTTATAATATGTTTATCCATCTGTTGAATCTGAAGGCTTTGTTGTTCCTTTAGGTAATTTAAATCAGTTATATTCGATTGAAGTTGAAAAAGTTCTGATGATTGATTTAAAGAAAAATTATTGATAGCATCAATAATTTGCTCATTTAACTTAGATAACCTTTCATGAGACACTTTATCACTTTGTAATGATGATGCCTCATTACTGTTAGATTTATAATCTGGAAATTGGCTCAAGAGATTAGGTTCTGTGTTTTGCATGGCATAATTAAGTCTTTTATCTTGATAAATATCATCTTTATCATTATTTAAAAATAAATTGTTAAAAATGATTCCATTAAGCATGCATGTAGAAGTAACAACATTAAATAGTTTTTCAAAATTTTGACATGTTAAAGATGCATCATTAAACATTTTCATATACATCTCCAAATCTAAACGAAGAGAAGAAGAAATCGAATTACAATCTCTCAAATCTGATTCTAAAGAATTAACCTTCATTTCCAAATTCACATTTAAAAACTTGACTTCATTATAGAAATTTTCTAATCGAATATATTTATCATAATTTGCATTATTTTCTTGTTTAAGAAAATCTAACTCAGAAGAAAGGTTAAATATCTTATTACTACAAACCAATAACTCCTTACACTGATCATAATACATTAGCTTTGATTCATTAGCTAAGGAATCTGCAGCAGAGAGCATTTTAAGTAACTCAGAAAAACAACTAAGTATATTAGGACAGGTCTCTGAAATGTACAACCTAAAATTTTGAATAATAGTTTGAAACTCAACTTTAAAGTCTAAAAAGAACTTTATAAACGATAAAGTCAAGTCTCGAGCCTTAAAGAGTGCATTAACAGAATCATTAAGCAAACATACTTTATATTGTAAGTCTTTATCAGTTTTTGATAAACATGTTTCAGTATTACCTAACTTATCTTTCATAAAAGCAAGTTCAGACGAAGTAGATTTACACTCATCTTTAAGGTCATTCAGAGAATTTATTGTACAGTCTAAGGTAAAAAGAGCTGTACTCAACTCAGATTGTAAACCAAGATTTAAAATTTCGACCTCACTTAGTTTTAGCTTAACTGCAGTCAGCTCATTCAGAGTCTCGCATAAACAAGCCTTGGTTTCAGTGAGCTCTGAAACAGCAGAGTTCAATTCTACTTTTTGGGCTTCAAAACTGGCTTTCGTCACCTTAAGTTCATTGGTAACACTGTTATTATTTTCCTCCGATTGAACTAACTGATCTTTAGTTTGGGCTAAACTCTCAGTAGTTGTTGACAACGTCTGTAGAGTGGCATTTAATTCAGATTCCTTACTTACAAGAACTGCTTGACTTTCAATTAACTCGGCCTCCTTTCTGTCCCGCTCCAGAATAGTCTTAGATAACAAGTCTTCGGTGTCGCATAGCTTTTCTTTCAGTTCTGCGAGTAACGTACTACTTTCCTTTTTAAGATCACTCAATGCATTTCTGGTGCTGTCAAGAGCTGAAACAGTTGAGCTCAGCTCCGTTGTTAAATCAAGCTTCTGCATTTCGACATCACTTAGTTTTAGTTTGACTGCAGTCAGCTCATTCAGAGTCTCGCATAAACAAGCCTTGGTTTCAGTGAGCTCTGAAACAGCAGAGTTCAATTCTACTTTTTGGGCTTCAAAACTGGCTTTCGTCACCTTAAGTTCATTGGTAACACTGTTATTATTTTCCTCCGATTGAACTAACTGATCTTTAGTTTGGGCTAAACTCTCAGTAGTTGTTGACAACGTCTGTAGAGTGGCATTTAATTCAGATTCCTTACTTACAAGAACTGCTTGACTTTCAATTAACTCGGCCTCCTTTCTGTCCCGCTCCAGAATAGTCTTAGATAACAAGTCTTCGGTGTCGCATAGCTTTTCTTTCAGTTCTGCGAGTAACGTACTACTTTCCTTTTTAAGATCACTCAATGCATTTCTGGTGCTGTCAAGAGCTGAAACAGTTGAGCTCAGCTCCGTTGTTAAATCAAGCTTCTGCATTTCGACATCACTTAGTTTTAGTTTGACTGCAGTCAGCTCATTCAGAGTCTCGCATAAACAAGCCTTGGTTTCAGTGAGCTCTGAAACAGCAGAGTTCAATTCTACTTTTTGGGCTTCAAAACTGGCTTTCGTCACCTTAAGTTCATTGGTAACACTGTTATTATTTTCCTCCGATTGAACTAACTGATCTTTAGTTTGGGCTAAACTCTCAGTAGTTGTTGACAACGTCTGTAGAGTGGCATTTAATTCAGATTCCTTACTTACAAGAACTGCTTGACTTTCAATTAACTCGGCCTCCTTTCTGTCCCGCTCCAGAATAGTCTTAGATAACAAGTCTTCGGTGTCGCATAGCTTTTCTTTCAGTTCTGCGAGTAACGTACTACTTTCCTTTTTAAGATCACTCAATGCATTTCTGGTGCTGTCAAGAGCTGAAACAGTTGAGCTCAGCTCCGTTGTTAAATCAAGCTTCTGCATTTCGACATCACTTAGTTTTAGTTTGACTGCAGTCAGCTCATTCAGAGTCTCGCATAAACAAGCCTTGGTTTCAGTGAGCTCTGAAACAGCAGAGTTCAATTCTACTTTTTGGGCTTCAAAACTGGCTTTCGTCACCTTAAGTTCATTGGTAACACTGTTATTATTTTCCTCCGATTGAACTAACTGATCTTTAGTTTGGGCTAAACTCTCAGTAGTTGTTGACAACGTCTGTAGAGTGGCATTTAATTCAGATTCCTTACTTACAAGAACTGCTTGACTTTCAATTAACTCGGCCTCCTTTCTGTCCCGCTCCAGAATAGTCTTAGATAACAAGTCTTCGGTGTCGCATAGCTTTTCTTTCAGTTCTGCGAGTAACGTACTACTTTCCTTTTTAAGATCACTCAATGCATTTCTGGTGCTGTCAAGAGCTGAAACAGTTGAGCTCAGCTCCGTTGTTAAATCAAGCTTCTGCATTTCGACATCACTTAGTTTTAGTTTGACTGCAGTCAGCTCATTCAGAGTCTCGCATAAACAAGCCTTGGTTTCAGTGAGCTCTGAAACAGCAGAGTTCAATTCTACTTTTTGGGCTTCAAAACTGGCTTTCGTCACCTTAAGTTCATTGGTAACACTGTTATTATTTTCCTCCGATTGAACTAACTGATCTTTAGTTTGGGCTAAACTCTCAGTAGTTGTTGACAACGTCTGTAGAGTGGCATTTAATTCAGATTCCTTACTTACAAGAACTGCTTGACTTTCAATTAACTCGGCCTCCTTTCTGTCCCGCTCCAGAATAGTCTTAGATAACAAGTCTTCGGTGTCGCATAGCTTTTCTTTCAGTTCTGCGAGTAACGTACTACTTTCCTTTTTAAGATCACTCAATGCATTTCTGGTGCTGTCAAGAGCTGAAACAGTTGAGCTCAGCTCCGTTGTTAAATCAAGCTTCTGCATTTCGACATCACTTAGTTTTAGTTTGACTGCAGTCAGCTCATTCAGAGTCTCGCATAAACAAGCCTTGGTTTCAGTGAGCTCTGAAACAGCAGAGTTCAATTCTACTTTTTGGGCTTCAAAACTGGCTTTCGTCACCTTAAGTTCATTGGTAACACTGTTATTATTTTCCTCCGATTGAACTAACTGATCTTTAGTTTGGGCTAAACTCTCAGTAGTTGTTGACAACGTCTGTAGAGTGGCATTTAATTCAGATTCCTTACTTACAAGAACTGCTTGACTTTCAATTAACTCGGCCTCCTTTCTGTCCCGCTCCAGAATAGTCTTAGATAACAAGTCTTCGGTGTCGCATAGCTTTTCTTTCAGTTCTGCGAGTAACGTACTACTTTCCTTTTTAAGATCACTCAATGCATTTCTGGTGCTGTCAAGAGCTGAAACAGTTGAGCTCAGCTCCGTTGTTAAATCAAGCTTCTGCATTTCGACATCACTTAGTTTTAGTTTGACTGCAGTCAGCTCATTCAGAGTCTCGCATAAACAAGCCTTGGTTTCAGTGAGCTCTGAAACAGCAGAGTTCAATTCTACTTTTTGGGCTTCAAAACTGGCTTTCGTCACCTTAAGTTCATTGGTAACACTGTTATTATTTTCCTCCGATTGAACTAACTGATCTTTAGTTTGGGCTAAACTCTCAGTAGTTGTTGACAACGTCTGTAGAGTGGCATTTAATTCAGATTCCTTACTTACAAGAACTGCTTGACTTTCAATTAACTCGGCCTCCTTTCTGTCCCGCTCCAGAATAGTCTTAGATAACAAGTCTTCGGTGTCGCATAGCTTTTCTTTCAGTTCTGCGAGTAACGTACTACTTTCCTTTTTAAGATCACTCAATGCATTTCTGGTGCTGTCAAGAGCTGAAACAGTTGAGCTCAGCTCCGTTGTTAAATCAAGCTTCTGCATTTCGACATCACTTAGTTTTAGTTTGACTGCAGTCAGCTCATTCAGAGTCTCGCATAAACAAGCCTTGGTTTCAGTGAGCTCTGAAACAGCAGAGTTCAATTCTACTTTTTGGGCTTCAAAACTGGCTTTCGTCACCTTAAGTTCATTGGTAACACTGTTATTATTTTCCTCCGATTGAACTAACTGATCTTTAGTTTGGGCTAAACTCTCAGTAGTTGTTGACAACGTCTGTAGAGTGGCATTTAATTCAGATTCCTTACTTACAAGAACTGCTTGACTTTCAATTAACTCGGCCTCCTTTCTGTCCCGCTCCAGAATAGTCTTAGATAACAAGTCTTCGGTGTCGCATAGCTTTTCTTTCAGTTCTGCGAGTAACGTACTACTTTCCTTTTTAAGATCACTCAATGCATTTCTGGTGCTGTCAAGAGCTGAAACAGTTGAGCTCAGCTCCGTTGTTAAATCAAGCTTCTGCATTTCGACATCACTTAGTTTTAGTTTGACTGCAGTCAGCTCATTCAGAGTCTCGCATAAACAAGCCTTGGTTTCAGTGAGCTCTGAAACAGCAGAGTTCAATTCTACTTTTTGGGCTTCAAAACTGGCTTTCGTCACCTTAAGTTCATTGGTAACACTGTTATTATTTTCCTCCGATTGAACTAACTGATCTTTAGTTTGGGCTAAACTCTCAGTAGTTGTTGACAACGTCTGTAGAGTGGCATTTAATTCAGATTCCTTACTTACAAGAACTGCTTGACTTTCAATTAACTCGGCCTCCTTTCTGTCCCGCTCCAGAATAGTCTTAGATAACAAGTCTTCGGTGTCGCATAGCTTTTCTTTCAGTTCTGCGAGTAACGTACTACTTTCCTTTTTAAGATCACTCAATGCATTTCTGGTGCTGTCAAGAGCTGAAACAGTTGAGCTCAGCTCCGTTGTTAAATCAAGCTTCTGCATTTCGACATCACTTAGTTTTAGTTTGACTGCAGTCAGCTCATTCAGAGTCTCGCATAAACAAGCCTTGGTTTCAGTGAGCTCTGAAACAGCAGAGTTCAATTCTACTTTTTGGGCTTCAAAACTGGCTTTCGTCACCTTAAGTTCATTGGTAACACTGTTATTATTTTCCTCCGATTGAACTAACTGATCTTTAGTTTGGGCTAAACTCTCAGTAGTTGTTGACAACGTCTGTAGAGTGGCATTTAATTCAGATTCCTTACTTACAAGAACTGCTTGACTTTCAATTAACTCGGCCTCCTTTCTGTCCCGCTCCAGAATAGTCTTAGATAACAAGTCTTCGGTGTCGCATAGCTTTTCTTTCAGTTCTGCGAGTAACGTACTACTTTCCTTTTTAAGATCACTCAATGCATTTCTGGTGCTGTCAAGAGCTGAAACAGTTGAGCTCAGCTCCGTTGTTAAATCAAGCTTCTGCATTTCGACATCACTTAGTTTTAGTTTGACTGCAGTCAGCTCATTCAGAGTCTCGCATAAACAAGCCTTGGTTTCAGTGAGCTCTGAAACAGCAGAGTTCAATTCTACTTTTTGGGCTTCAAAACTGGCTTTCGTCACCTTAAGTTCATTGGTAACACTGTTATTATTTTCCTCCGATTGAACTAACTGATCTTTAGTTTGGGCTAAACTCTCAGTAGTTGTTGACAACGTCTGTAGAGTGGCATTTAATTCAGATTCCTTACTTACAAGAACTGCTTGACTTTCAATTAACTCGGCCTCCTTTCTGTCCCGCTCCAGAATAGTCTTAGATAACAAGTCTTCGGTGTCGCATAGCTTTTCTTTCAGTTCTGCGAGTAACGTACTACTTTCCTTTTTAAGATCACTCAATGCATTTCTGGTGCTGTCAAGAGCTGAAACAGTTGAGCTCAGCTCCGTTGTTAAATCAAGCTTCTGCATTTCGACATCACTTAGTTTTAGTTTGACTGCAGTCAGCTCATTCAGAGTCTCGCATAAACAAGCCTTGGTTTCAGTGAGCTCTGAAACAGCAGAGTTCAATTCTACTTTTTGGGCTTCAAAACTGGCTTTCGTCACCTTAAGTTCATTGGTAACACTGTTATTATTTTCCTCCGATTGAACTAACTGATCTTTAGTTTGGGCTAAACTCTCAGTAGTTGTTGACAACGTCTGTAGAGTGGCATTTAATTCAGATTCCTTACTTACAAGAACTGCTTGACTTTCAATTAACTCGGCCTCCTTTCTGTCCCGCTCCAGAATAGTCTTAGATAACAAGTCTTCGGTGTCGCATAGCTTTTCTTTCAGTTCTGCGAGTAACGTACTACTTTCCTTTTTAAGATCACTCAATGCATTTCTGGTGCTGTCAAGAGCTGAAACAGTTGAGCTCAGCTCCGTTGTTAAATCAAGCTTCTGCATTTCGACATCACTTAGTTTTAGTTTGACTGCAGTCAGCTCATTCAGAGTCTCGCATAAACAAGCCTTGGTTTCAGTGAGCTCTGAAACAGCAGAGTTCAATTCTACTTTTTGGGCTTCAAAACTGGCTTTCGTCACCTTAAGTTCATTGGTAACACTGTTATTATTTTCCTCCGATTGAACTAACTGATCTTTAGTTTGGGCTAAACTCTCAGTAGTTGTTGACAACGTCTGTAGAGTGGCATTTAATTCAGATTCCTTACTTACAAGAACTGCTTGACTTTCAATTAACTCGGCCTCCTTTCTGTCCCGCTCCAGAATAGTCTTAGATAACAAGTCTTCGGTGTCGCATAGCTTTTCTTTCAGTTCTGCGAGTAACGTACTACTTTCCTTTTTAAGATCACTCAATGCATTTCTGGTGCTGTCAAGAGCTGAAACAGTTGAGCTCAGCTCCGTTGTTAAATCAAGCTTCTGCATTTCGACATCACTTAGTTTTAGTTTGACTGCAGTCAGCTCATTCAGAGTCTCGCATAAACAAGCCTTGGTTTCAGTGAGCTCTGAAACAGCAGAGTTCAATTCTACTTTTTGGGCTTCAAAACTGGCTTTCGTCACCTTAAGTTCATTGGTAACACTGTTATTATTTTCCTCCGATTGAACTAACTGATCTTTAGTTTGGGCTAAACTCTCAGTAGTTGTTGACAACGTCTGTAGAGTGGCATTTAATTCAGATTCCTTACTTACAAGAACTGCTTGACTTTCAATTAACTCGGCCTCCTTTCTGTCCCGCTCCAGAATAGTCTTAGATAACAAGTCTTCGGTGTCGCATAGCTTTTCTTTCAGTTCTGCGAGTAACGTACTACTTTCCTTTTTAAGATCACTCAATGCATTTCTGGTGCTGTCAAGAGCTGAAACAGTTGAGCTCAGCTCCGTTGTTAAATCAAGCTTCTGCATTTCGACATCACTTAGTTTTAGTTTGACTGCAGTCAGCTCATTCAGAGTCTCGCATAAACAAGCCTTGGTTTCAGTGAGCTCTGAAACAGCAGAGTTCAATTCTACTTTTTGGGCTTCAAAACTGGCTTTCGTCACCTTAAGTTCATTGGTAACACTGTTATTATTTTCCTCCGATTGAACTAACTGATCTTTAGTTTGGGCTAAACTCTCAGTAGTTGTTGACAACGTCTGTAGAGTGGCATTTAATTCAGATTCCTTACTTACAAGAACTGCTTGACTTTCAATTAACTCGGCCTCCTTTCTGTCCCGCTCCAGAATAGTCTTAGATAACAAGTCTTCGGTGTCGCATAGCTTTTCTTTCAGTTCTGCGAGTAACGTACTACTTTCCTTTTTAAGATCACTCAATGCATTTCTGGTGCTGTCAAGAGCTGAAACAGTTGAGCTCAGCTCCGTTGTTAAATCAAGCTTCTGCATTTCGACATCACTTAGTTTTAGTTTGACTGCAGTCAGCTCATTCAGAGTCTCGCATAAACAAGCCTTGGTTTCAGTGAGCTCTGAAACAGCAGAGTTCAATTCTACTTTTTGGGCTTCAAAACTGGCTTTCGTCACCTTAAGTTCATTGGTAACACTGTTATTATTTTCCTCCGATTGAACTAACTGATCTTTAGTTTGGGCTAAACTCTCAGTAGTTGTTGACAACGTCTGTAGAGTGGCATTTAATTCAGATTCCTTACTTACAAGAACTGCTTGACTTTCAATTAACTCGGCCTCCTTTCTGTCCCGCTCCAGAATAGTCTTAGATAACAAGTCTTCGGTGTCGCATAGCTTTTCTTTCAGTTCTGCGAGTAACGTACTACTTTCCTTTTTAAGATCACTCAATGCATTTCTGGTGCTGTCAAGAGCTGAAACAGTTGAGCTCAGCTCCGTTGTTAAATCAAGCTTCTGCATTTCGACATCACTTAGTTTTAGTTTGACTGCAGTCAGCTCATTCAGAGTCTCGCATAAACAAGCCTTGGTTTCAGTGAGCTCTGAAACAGCAGAGTTCAATTCTACTTTTTGGGCTTCAAAACTGGCTTTCGTCACCTTAAGTTCATTGGTAACACTGTTATTATTTTCCTCCGATTGAACTAACTGATCTTTAGTTTGGGCTAAACTCTCAGTAGTTGTTGACAACGTCTGTAGAGTGGCATTTAATTCAGATTCCTTACTTACAAGAACTGCTTGACTTTCAATTAACTCGGCCTCCTTTCTGTCCCGCTCCAGAATAGTCTTAGATAACAAGTCTTCGGTGTCGCATAGCTTTTCTTTCAGTTCTGCGAGTAACGTACTACTTTCCTTTTTAAGATCACTCAATGCATTTCTGGTGCTGTCAAGAGCTGAAACAGTTGAGCTCAGCTCCGTTGTTAAATCAAGCTTCTGCATTTCGACATCACTTAGTTTTAGTTTGACTGCAGTCAGCTCATTCAGAGTCTCGCATAAACAAGCCTTGGTTTCAGTGAGCTCTGAAACAGCAGAGTTCAATTCTACTTTTTGGGCTTCAAAACTGGCTTTCGTCACCTTAAGTTCATTGGTAACACTGTTATTATTTTCCTCCGATTGAACTAACTGATCTTTAGTTTGGGCTAAACTCTCAGTAGTTGTTGACAACGTCTGTAGAGTGGCATTTAATTCAGATTCCTTACTTACAAGAACTGCTTGACTTTCAATTAACTCGGCCTCCTTTCTGTCCCGCTCCAGAATAGTCTTAGATAACAAGTCTTCGGTGTCGCATAGCTTTTCTTTCAGTTCTGCGAGTAACGTACTACTTTCCTTTTTAAGATCACTCAATGCATTTCTGGTGCTGTCAAGAGCTGAAACAGTTGAGCTCAGCTCCGTTGTTAAATCAAGCTTCTGCATTTCGACATCACTTAGTTTTAGTTTGACTGCAGTCAGCTCATTCAGAGTCTCGCATAAACAAGCCTTGGTTTCAGTGAGCTCTGAAACAGCAGAGTTCAATTCTACTTTTTGGGCTTCAAAACTGGCTTTCGTCACCTTAAGTTCATTGGTAACACTGTTATTATTTTCCTCCGATTGAACTAACTGATCTTTAGTTTGGGCTAAACTCTCAGTAGTTGTTGACAACGTCTGTAGAGTGGCATTTAATTCAGATTCCTTACTTACAAGAACTGCTTGACTTTCAATTAACTCGGCCTCCTTTCTGTCCCGCTCCAGAATAGTCTTAGATAACAAGTCTTCGGTGTCGCATAGCTTTTCTTTCAGTTCTGCGAGTAACGTACTACTTTCCTTTTTAAGATCACTCAATGCATTTCTGGTGCTGTCAAGAGCTGAAACAGTTGAGCTCAGCTCCGTTGTTAAATCAAGCTTCTGCATTTCGACATCACTTAGTTTTAGTTTGACTGCAGTCAGCTCATTCAGAGTCTCGCATAAACAAGCCTTGGTTTCAGTGAGCTCTGAAACAGCAGAGTTCAATTCTACTTTTTGGGCTTCAAAACTGGCTTTCGTCACCTTAAGTTCATTGGTAACACTGTTATTATTTTCCTCCGATTGAACTAACTGATCTTTAGTTTGGGCTAAACTCTCAGTAGTTGTTGACAACGTCTGTAGAGTGGCATTTAATTCAGATTCCTTACTTACAAGAACTGCTTGACTTTCAATTAACTCGGCCTCCTTTCTGTCCCGCTCCAGAATAGTCTTAGATAACAAGTCTTCGGTGTCGCATAGCTTTTCTTTCAGTTCTGCGAGTAACGTACTACTTTCCTTTTTAAGATCACTCAATGCATTTCTGGTGCTGTCAAGAGCTGAAACAGTTGAGCTCAGCTCCGTTGTTAAATCAAGCTTCTGCATTTCGACATCACTTAGTTTTAGTTTGACTGCAGTCAGCTCATTCAGAGTCTCGCATAAACAAGCCTTGGTTTCAGTGAGCTCTGAAACAGCAGAGTTCAATTCTACTTTTTGGGCTTCAAAACTGGCTTTCGTCACCTTAAGTTCATTGGTAACACTGTTATTATTTTCCTCCGATTGAACTAACTGATCTTTAGTTTGGGCTAAACTCTCAGTAGTTGTTGACAACGTCTGTAGAGTGGCATTTAATTCAGATTCCTTACTTACAAGAACTGCTTGACTTTCAATTAACTCGGCCTCCTTTTTATCATTTACTTTTTTTATTAGTTCCTGTTCCTGACTAATTGACTTATAACAATCTAATAATTCAGCAATTTCTCTTTCATAATCTAATTAAAAAATATTTTTTTTTTGTGAATGAAATTTTTTATATAATATGCTATTTCTCTTTATTATTTAATTAATTTCTGTAATATTTTATATTAACTAATATTCTAATATTCAAAAGTATATCTTATATATAATAGTATAATAAGAAAAGTAATACAGGAGTTTTTAGAAGTTTATAAATTTTCATATTTCTATGACTGATTTGTCAAAGAAAATAAATATTTATATTAATTTATTATATCAATTAAAATAAAAAATTAAAATTGTCATAACATAAACTGCTATCTAGTGCAGATTATGTCAAATGTAGATTAAGCTAATATGTAATCAAGCTAATATGTTATTCAGTTTCTTTATTTATAACAATATACTTACCCAATATTACATATACCAACTATATTGAAACCATTTTGTTAGTTTGATTTCGAACAGCAATATTATACAAGGTTAACAGGGTATATTATGAGGCTATCATATGAAGTAGTGTATAATTTTATATAAACACTATGTTAAGTATTATTTTTAAATAAAAAAAAATACAGAAAATTAAGATGTAATTTTTTGCAACTCTTTATGACATTAACTTTAGAGATAAAGGTTTGTTTTTATTGAAATTCTACTACAAGGAATATTATTGTTTTTTTTTTTCTTTCTTTCTTTTTAACAAATTTACTTCTAACAAGACTATAAGCAACCACTATTTACAGGGTTATTAATAATTATATATCAGTTTATTAATAGTTATATATCAGTTTATTAATAACTATATATCAGTTTATTAGTTATTATATATCAGTTTATTAATTATTATATATCAGTTTATTAATTATTATATATCAGTTTATTAATAATTATATATCAGTTTATTAATAATTATATATCAGTTTAATAATAATTTTATGCAATTTATTAATAATTATATGGGGTTGGTATATAATTTAAGTTTTTAAAAATAAATGATATATTTATCCATTAAAGGGACCACCAAGTCCCGAGACATGTTGTATTCATATTAAAGAGAATGTTAAAAAAAAACAGAAGCAAATTTTTTTCGATTAAAATTAATTAATAAATGTATTCCAAGAAAAACAAATCTTATTGTTTTAGTTAAAGCTTGTCTTCTCCATTATCTGCGGTATTTAGAGTCTTTAAAATAAACACAATTTTCCAGGTGCATTATACAGATTTGATAATTTATTTAAGCGCGTTTAATTCATAGGAGTTTTAGTACATAACGTCATAGATTTTTTGTTAGTTTGTTTAAAACACCGATTATTATTTTTTACATTCATTATATTCATTTTTATTATATTATAAAGTTCTAAAATGTGTTTGTAAAAAAACTAAAAACAAAATAGTATTTTATTTGCGCAACCTTTTTTAAATAATCGTCTAGACCACATGTATTTTGATTTCTTTTGTTATAAGTCTTTCTTTCAAAATATTAGATGAAATAATTTTTAACCTAAAATAATAATGCACTTTTATTACTTTACTTTGTAAATACTGAAAAAAAATATTAACGCATATTTTCTCTGATTTTCAAAAATGTATTTTTTGGTATAGAGGCGATCTTATTTCATTATTTATATTTCCATTATTATTACATCCAATATATATAATGACGTACATAAATTTAAATGTTCTCATAATGACTAAAAATATATATAATATGTTAGTCGTTTTAAGAACATTTAAGTTTATGTACATAACAAAAAATTTTTGTTTTACGGACATTCATGGAATCATAATAAACTTGAATGTTTTTAAAACATCTTGCGGAAGAGTAAAAAGAATATTTGCGAACACTAAAAACCCGCTAAATTTACAAACAAACTAATAAAGTTCTAGAGTATTCTGTTGAAATGTTTTAGCAATTCAGGATTTGTTGCGTTTTAAGATATCTAGCATAATTTGTTTTTAGAGTATATTATCAAATGAACTACTACTTTAATATTATGGCTCATTCGTGGAGCCTTTCTGCCATTCGTGGAGCCACTTCTGCAAAGCCATAAATCTTTTAAGCTATTATCATTTGTTTACAAAAATAAATGTTTTATAATATATATTTTTTAAATTGTCGAAATTTTGAAAGTTAATTACAAATTATAGATTTTATTAGTATATTACTATTTTTTATATCTCTTCCTAGTGCCTTGTTTAATTAATTGTTTGTTAGATTTGTCAAAACAACTTGTATTAAAATGTAAAGAACACACTCGTGAATCATCGGAGACATTATATAATCTGATTATGCACAATAGGGGTCCCTAGGTCCACTATCCCTGTGGCCTATGTAGCTACAAAAAAACATAAAATATTTTTCAATGTGAAGATTTTAGAAAATAAAATAATTAACTATAGTTAGCTATTTTAGTAAAATTTAATACTAAAACTTAAGAATTTCTAGAATGCTTCCAATGATGCCATGTACTAAAACTCCTATGAATTAAATGCACTTGAATAAATTATCAAGTCTGTATAATGTGCCTGGAAAATTGCGTTTATTTTAAAGACTCCAAATACCGCAGAAAATGGAGAAGACAAGCTTCGACTAAAACAACAAGATTTTTATTTTAAACATATAAGCAAATTTTTTTAATTAGTTTTAATTAAAAAAATTTGCTTATATGTTGTTTTTTTAACATTCTCTTTATTATGAACACAAGATGTCTCGGGACTTGGTGGTCCCTTTAATACCATGTTATTCCATCAGAAAATCATTATTATTTTAAATATATTTTTTTTTATTTTAGCTTCATGTAAAATATTTTTAATGAAAGTGAACCTGTCAGAAATATAAATAGGAAAAAAGAGTACCTATTTCATCTACATTAGTTAAACAAACAAAAATAAGAATGGACAGAGAAAAGTATAGCTCAAATTGCCAATGCTACTGATTTGGGAGTATCCATCGTTAGAAAATGGCATGGCAAAATGGCATATAATATCAACTAAGATTAATCTTAGTGATTGTTTTAACTTACTACAGAAAAGTGGCCCCAAGCAAAACTCTAATTCTCGTGCTATGATGTTGTTATTTAAATGTATTCAAGATGACAATTTATTTACACAGGGTGGAATGGCTTCAAGAAAATGAAATAACCATATCCCATCCATCTAACTTTTTACCTTTAAAAAGTTAGATGGAAGGTTAAGAAAGGTCTCTGATGTCACCTGTTCACCAAGAATAATTAGTGAGAGAAAAAGTTGTTCTATTCGATAAAAAAATATTGACTATTCTCAAATGTTATTCTTGGACGAAACCAGGTTCAATTTACATTCAAGTCCAAATTTCGGATATTCACCTAAACACTCCTGCATTTACAACTGTTCCTGCAAACAAAAGTTGCAATATCAGTCTACTGGCATTAGTATTAGTCAGAGCCATCTTATAACATTCAATTATTGAAGGACCTTTCAACATTGAAATTTTTTAAGAATTTCTCAAGCAATGCTATGAAGCAAGATTGTTTTGATTGCAACTAAGCAATTATGATTTGTGGAAAATCAAAAGAGATGCAACCTTACAATATTTTGCAATAATACAAATTTCAATGTATTGTATATATGATATATATTATAACATGATAAGACATAAAGTAGAGGACTCAGTAAGAGTGTCACTTTTCATCAGTAAAGGAATGCCAACAACACTGTGATAATTGTTTATAGTAAATAACTGGGTTTAGTTTGGATTAAATTTCATCACCAATTTCAAGCTGTCACAAAAGAGAGATCGCACACAAGATCAGCTCCCTGTTCTAAGTATCAGAAAATGATGACATTTGGTCAAGACTAGTGATTTTGCCAGTTATCCGGTTTTGCGGTTAACCGGATTTTGTTTGAATATCAAATATCTATTTTCGAATAATAAAAACCGATTTAGAAATTTTACAAAATTTTATAGAAAGTAACATCGTAATTATAACGATTATTGTTTGACAAATGTTAATTTATCAAAGATTATAATATATTTCTTTTATTAATTTAAATGTTAATTTAATCAGTTTTGTTTAATAATATATTCTTAGAACAATTTACAATAGAAATCTCAAAGATTTATTTATTACTTTTACAACTCAAGCAACACATTTTAAAGAAAGTTTCTTCAGAATATTCTGGAACTCTTATTCGCTTATTCAGCGTATTTTTTGAACCAATAGAATTTGTTTATTCGTAGATTTGGCGGTATTTTAGTGTTAGCAAATATTCTTTATATTATCTTTACGCAACAAGTTGTTTTGAGAACATTCAAGTTTATCTATGTTTCCATCTATGTC